ACCCCATGGACCAGAGCACGCCAGGCACTCCTGTCTTCCACTGCCTTCCACAGCTTGGTCAAAGTCATGCTGGTAGCTTCGAGAACACTGTCCAACCATCTCGTCCTCTGTCGTCCCCTTCTCCTTGTGCCCTCCATCTTTCCCAACATCAGGGTCTTTTCCAGGGAGTCTTCTCTTCTCATGCGGTGGCCAAAGTATTGGAGCCTCAGCTTCAGGATCTGTCCTTCCAGTGAGAACTCAGGGCTGATTTCCTTCAGAATGGAGAGGTTTGACCTTCTTGCAGTCCATGGGACTCTCAAGAGTCTCCTCCAGCACCTGAATTCAAAAGCATCCATTCTTCGGTGATCAGCCTTCTTTATGGTCCAGCTCTCACTTCCATGCATCACTACTGGGAAAACCTCTTCATGGATCACTGCCTTGCCGTGGCGAAGGGGCTTGAATAACTCAGAGAAGCTATGTGCTATGCCATTCAGGGCCACCCAAGATGGACAGGTCATAGTGGAGAGTTTTGAACAAACGTGATCCACCTGGAGCAGGAACCGGCAAGCCACTCCAGTATCCCTGCCAAGAAAACTCCATGGACAAAGACAACAGGCATAAAGCTATTGTCTACTATTAACTTCTATTTACACCCTGCCTTTTAGCGAAAGCGTCCTCATAAGTGATGTACAAAACCAGCTAGGATCCCTGAGGACGTGGGGCTTCCAGCCCCAGCCAACTCTACACTACAAAGATGTCTGCAAATATAACGCCAAGGCTGGCAGTGCCAACCCCGCCATGTGAGAATCCCTTGCAGACGACCGCAGTTCCCGGAGACAGACTGTCAGGTTGGGCATCCATAGCAGGGACCAGAGGAGGAATGACCTCTGGGAGGAGCACACAGAGAAGAAATGCCATGGCGCATCTCCAGCAGCACAACCGGACGCCTTCCTCTGCCCCGGCTGCAACAAAACATGTCTCTCCTGCATCAGTCTCTGCCTCGCGCCTCCTTGCCTCCTGAGACAGACGGATGCCAGCAGAGGCTCAGTGGTGAGGCCATCTTACCCACCCTTACTCTTTCATGTATCCTGGCCCTGAGAACTGGGGTGTTGGGGCTGAAGGCTAGTGTACCCCCACCTCAAATGCAGTCTCAAAATGACCACGATCGCTCATTTAGTCAAACTAAGCTGCTTCTCCCCTTGATGGATGATGGGCCTTCTGGAGAGTTGATGAATGGGTTCGCAACCCAGAAGGCAATTTGTACCAGCGCTGTAGAAGTGATTAATAACATACCCATGCCTGTGTTAATCAGGGCTGTCAAAAGCTTTTAATTAACTGCCTGGCTTTTGTCTGATTAATGAATGAAATTAAAGTACATTTACCTAACTGAAAGGTTCAGCAGAGGGCCCTTTCTTGAGGCTTGGAAGCAGCACAGAGTCTCGTCGATGTGAAAAACATAGCTGACCCAGAATCGACGTAAGGAATGAGCTACTGTGGAAAGGCAGTGCCTCTAAAAAAATCCCCATCTAATTAGGGAATGTGGAATAGTTCCGATTATGCTCACACGCCAGAGTCACAATGGCACCCAACCTCTTTTGTGACAGAAGTTCAAGGCCCATCAGTGTTTCTGAAAATCCAGGATTTGAAGATATACCAAGGTGGGTTCCTAGGGAGCGCTATGGCCGTAAGGCAGCAACTACTTCCCTGGGAGTAAGCCCTAAGGAATGACGCTCAATTTGTCGCCGCAGTTCTCTGCACGGCAGCCCATAATATTATGTACATTTATTATCTGGCTTTCACCATAAAGAGTGGGCTACAACAATGTAAAAATACAAGATTATTGTTAAAACAGCTTGCAATGGGTCCTTTAAAAAAATCTCTGTCAGGGTTCGGGTTGTGCCTTCAGCAACTGAAGAAAGCTGTACAAAGCTAAGCCTCTCCCCATGTGAACTGACCCAGACTGTGCAATGGTCATCTGAGGCCATTTCTACATGTGTCCCCTCCTCGGGAGGTCCAGAGAGTGGCAACATGAGAACAGGGGCTTTTCGGTGGTGGCTTCCCAAATGTGGAATGCTCCCCACAGGGAGGCTCAGCTGGAACCATTGTCACTTATGACAGAATCAAAGAGTTGGAAAGGAACACGAGGGTTATCTAGTCCAACCCCCTGCCGTGCAGGGACCTCAACTGTACCTGACAGATGGCCATCCCATCTCTGCTCGAGTAGATAAATAGGTACCAGTGCAGCGGAAAGGTAAATGGCACTCCGGCTTCCGTCACGGTCCTCTGTGTGCCAGCAGTGGTTTAGTCATGCTGGCCACATGACCCTGAAATTTGTCTGTGGACAAACGCCGGCTCCCTCGGCCTCAAAGCAGGGGTGAGCGCTGCACCCCATAGTCTAACTTAACCATCCAGGGGTCCTTTACCTTTACCTTACCTTACCTTGAGCAGTGACTATTAACGTGCAAAATAAACTACCAACACCTTCTGCTGTTCTTAAGATCCAAGAAGGTCTCTGTATGGAAAATGGCTTTCCTTCAGATATTTGGGCTCTAAGTTGTTTAGAGCTTCAAATGCTCGTGTGAGCCAGTAGGATAGGCAAAAAGGATAAAGGTAAAGGGACCCCTGACCATTAGGTCCAGTCACTGACGACTCTGGGGTTGCGGTGCTCATCTCGCTTTACTGGCCGAGGGAGCCGGCGTACAGCTTCCGGGTCATGTGGCCAGCATGACTAAGCCACTTCTGGCAAACCAGAGCAGTGCACGGAAACGCCGTTTACTTTCCCGCCGGAGCAGTACTTATTTATCTACTTGCACTCTGACGTGCTTTCGAACTGCTAGGTTGGCAGGAGCAGGGACCACGCAACGGGAGCTCACCCCGTCATTCGAACCGCCGACCTTCTGATCAGCAAGTCCTAGGCTCTGTGGTTTAACCCACAGTGCCACCCACGTCCGCAAACAGGATGCAGATACTTAAAAATTGTCAGGAAGCGAGCTTCATTTGAGAAGCGATGGCAAGAGGCAGATGGCCCTGGCTGCTGCCCAGAGGGCTCCTTTACAGGAGGGCAGCCGAGATGCCCACCTCTTGGCCCCAAAGAAGCCAGAGCAATGCCCCCCTTTGCCTGCCCCTCATGCCCCCACCTAGTTCTGCAAAGCTGAGAAGACCTGGCTGACCTGACAACACTTCACCACAAGCTGCCCATGCAGACAGTTGCTTTGCCACCCAGCATCTCCCAGAGCCCTGGGGCACAGCTTGACTTCTGGTCCCATGCCCAAGCGAGCAGGACGGCAGGTGTGGGCATTGTTGACACTGAGGTTGCGCCAAGTTGGGCCGCAAAAGGCTTGGCTTGTTGAAAGAGAGCTGCTGGCACTTAAGCCGATGGATTTCCAACTGCGCTTGGAGGAAGGAGGAGGTCACTGGCGAGACCCAGGTGGCAAAATGGGGCGCCCTTGTTAAAAGCATTTGCAGCGGCTGCCCACCTGATACCGAACCAGGTTCCAGGTGCTTGTATTAATTGGCAAGGCCTTGAACAAGTTAGGTTTATAGGGACCACCTGAACGCTTATATCCCAGCCCCAGCAGCTACCTTCTGTTTTAGAATCAGGGAGTTGGGACCCTGAAGGTCCTCTAGACCAGTGTTTTTCAACCACTGTTCCGCGGCACACTAGTGTGCCACGAGATGTTGCCTGGTGTGCCGTGGGAAAAATTGAAAAATTCGAAAGATTTAAAAAAAATATATTCAAATTTTTGCCCACTAGGCGGGCGCCGGACTGTGTCGGGGGGTGGGTTTGACCCCACCCTCGGCCAGCAGGGGCGCCGATTGGCGCTCCTCAGGGGGACACCCTCCACTTTTCTGATGTCCGGGCTGTGATTGGTCCAGACTCCAGCCTGGACCTATCACAGTAGGACATCATCTTCCGACTTCCTTCCCGCCCGAGCACAGTGTGCGCAGCAGCGGAGAGAAGAAGACGTCGCGACTCGAGTCACCAGGAGGAATGGAGAAGTTGTCATTTTATTTCTCTTCAGTCTCCACTGAATGCCTTGACTGGGTTAGGGACCCTTATAGCTCAGCATCAGTTGGTGGAAAGGACATGACTTTACAGGAGCAGGAGGAACTAACTGAACTGAGACAAAATCGTGGTTTCAAGCTAAGATTTGCTGATCTACCTTTGGACAGTTTTTGGTTGGATACTGCCAAGGAGTTCCCCCTTCTGGCAAACAAAGCTATTTTGACATTGCTCCCATTTTCCACTACATATCTGTGTGAGGTGAGCTTTTCAAGCATGATTGCTATAAAAACTAAATACAGAGAGAGACTGAGAGCTGTTGATGAAGAGCTACGTGTGTGTCTTTCTTCGATTCCAGCCAGAATACCAGCTTTGTGTTCAGCCAAACAGGCCGAGGTTGCGCACTGAATAAAGTATTTTATAATTTTTCATATTTCTGTTTACTTACTACAGTGGTGCCCCGCAAGACGAATGCCTTGCAAGACGGAAAACCCGCTAGACGAAAGGGTTTTCCGTTTTTGAGTTGCTTCGCAGGACGAATTTCCCTATGGGCTTGCTTCGCAAGACGAAAATGTCTTGCGAGTCTTGAGATTTTTTTCCGCTCCCCCCCCTTTTTCTAAGCCGCTAAGCCGCTAATAGCCTTTTAGCAGCTAAGCCGCTAAGCCTTTAATAGCCGCTAAACCGCTAATAGCGCTAATCCGCTAAGCCGCTAATAGGGTTGCTTCGCAAGACGAAAAAACCGCTAGACGAAGACACTCACGGAACGGATTAATTTCGTCTTGTAAGGCACCACTGTATTTCATAATAAAGTAATTATAAAATACTTTCTTTGTGTTTATTTGATTCCTATTCAAGAGAATTACTTTATATATAGTCAATATAGGCACAGAGTTAAATTTTTTAACATTTTCTAATGGTGGTGTGCCTCGTGATTTTTTTCATGAAACAAGTGTGCCTTTGCCCAAAAAAAGTTGAAAAACACTGCTCTAGACCAACCCCTGGCAATGCAGGAATCTTTTGGCCCAACGTGGGGCTTGAGCCCACAATCCTGAAATCAAGAGTCTCATGCCCTACCGGCTCAGCTATTTTCTAACCTTCAAACAACTGCCGAAAACTTTTCTATGCTGCCAAGCTTACACAAGCAATTAAGACGTCTTTCTGGAATTGTTGATCTCATGTAAATTTTCACGCGTTTGTTGTTGTAAGCCACTTTGAATTATTCTGTTTTTTTAAAAAAATATATGAATTGCCTATGCAAATATTTTTAGACATAACAGTAAGGCGGAAGCTTGATTATGAAATTAGGGACACTCAATTCAATGCCCTTCCCTGATCAATTTGGCATACACAACACTTTCTTCTGCATGAGCCAACGCGGAGGAAAACTAATGCTCATCCTCCCAGGGGGAGCAGCAGAAACAGACAGAATTCTTCTGTCATGCAAATAGGAATGAGCAGTCAAGGTGCCATATAAAGGATCGCCCTTTGCCTATCTCTTGGTTCATGTGTGAGTGATCTGCCTTGGCCCAGTATACCTGAAGGAGCGTCTCCACCCCCATCGTTCTGCCCGGACGCTGAGGTCCAGCTCCGAGGGCCTTCTGGCGGTTCCCTCATTGCGAGAAGCAAAGCTACAGGGAACCAGGCAGAGGGCCTTCTCGGTAGTGGCACCTGCCCTGTGGAACGCCCTCCCGTCAGATGTCAAAGAGATATACAACTACCTGACATTCAGAAGACACCTGAAGGCAGCCCTGTTCAGGGAAGTTTTTAATGTATGACATATTAGTGTATTTTTGGTCTTTGTGGAAGCTGCCCAGAGTGGCTGGGGAAACCCAGCCAGATGGACAGGGTACAAATAATAAATTATATTATATATTATATCTGGGGGGTGGCTCCTCATAGCTTTGCTCAAGCTCGTTTACTGCAACCAGATAAAGGGAATTAGGTCCTTGCGCCCCTGCAAAGACTCTCAGAAGCTACAATTTTCCCTCGTTTGTGTGTGGCGGGGAGCTTAGCCAAAGAGAATCAGAAATCAATGGACCTTCAAGGAGAAGAGGTGGGCATAGAAATGCTTTTGGGGCCTGACCTTTCGATGGGAGGAATGGAGAGAAGCCAGAGGACTTGGGGACGTTTTGCGTTGGGGGCTGTTTTTATGGGCTGCCGAGCGGAGTTCCTCTTAAGAGGAAGCAGGCTGCGGCACGATAAGGAAGAACAATTGGTGACAGCAAAGCCGCACAAAGGAGCAGGACTTATATTCCTTATCTGGATCGTGTGGGAAATAGCAAGTTCTTTTACATAAATGGATCCAGAGCAAGGTTGCTTGAATGCCCTATCTCCAAAAGCCCAAGTTTTGGGCCACATCATCACGACCAGCCAAACCAAAGGACCACATTTTTATTTCAAACACTTATTAAAAAATATCATTGCCCGACATAAAAATTGCCTCCACTCCAGGGCAGTTTTCACCCTGGCCTGTGATTAAGCTGCACTGAATATAATTTACTTACCACCAAACGGTGCAGAGGATTGATGTATTATAGTATTTTAATATTTTTTTGGAAGCCGTCCAGAGTGGCTGGGGAAGCCCAGCCAGATGGGCGGGGTATAAATGATAAATTATTATTATTATTATTATTATTATTATTATTATACTGCAAACCTGCTTCTTTTACCTATGGAGTAGTGCGAAAGACTTTCCTTTGCAATCTTTTAAGGAATGGAACCTTAAATCTTCATTTTAAAAATGGTTAGAGGCAACTGAATTCCATAGGCTCGTGCCGCATTGAATAGCAGCTACATAGGGAGAGTATTCATGCAGAATTGCAAAAAATGCTAAAGATCTCTTTTAATAAAAAAACAGAGGCCTGCCTCCTGGGAATTACAGATCTGGATATTCCGCAAAAGAGGAAGGGTATCTTTTTATACGCTACGGCGGCAGAAAGTGTTCTTATCATGGCAAAATGGAAGAGTAATGAAATCCCCTCTATACAAGATTGGATCCAAAAGCTGACAGAATATGCCAAATTAGACGGTCTATCAGAAAAAATAAAGAATAAATCAAAACAGGAATATGTCTCAAAATAGGAGGTTTTCAAAGAATATTTGAAACATAAATATAGTAGTTTAAACTCTGTTGCAGCATTCGAGGAACTTCAGTAATAGTTGCAAGGTAGATATAAGAATTAAGATATATTGAGAAAAAGTTTAAATAAGATAAAAGTGTGTATTGGCAATAAGTAATATGAAATCGAAATATGGAATAGATGGGAGGTTGGGTCTTTAGTGTTAAGACCACTTTCTGTATTATCGTTTGTTAAGAAAATTATGTGTCTATGGTTATTCCTGGGTGTAATTTGGTATTTGTGTTTTTTCTTTCTTCTTTTCTTGTTGTATCAATATTTTTTTTTTAAAAAAGGAGATTGTAGGAAGGAAATTTTAAAAAAGAAAGAATAGCAGCTGCATAGGAGGCTGTTCCCTCTTAAAACTACGGTAAAAGTAAAGGGACCCCTGACCATTAGGTCCAGTCGTGGCCGACTGGGGTTGCGGCGCTCATCTCACTTTACTGGCCAAGGGAGCCAGCATACAGCTTCCGGGTCATGTGGCCAGAATGACTAAGCCACTTCTGGCAAACTAGAGCAGCGCACGGAAATGCCATTTACCTTCCCGCTGGAGCAGTACCTATTTATCTACTTGCACTTTGATGTGCTTTCGAACTGCTAGGTTGGCAGGAGCAGGGACCAAGCAACGGGAGCTCATCCCATGGCAGGGATTCGAACCGCCAACCTTCTGATCGGCAAGTCCTAGGCTCTGTGGTTTAACCCACAGCGCCACCCGTGTCCCCCAAAAACTACAGTAGTGCCTTTTAAATGAAGCTGCACATTAATACGTCCTCATTTATGTCACTTTCTTGGGAGAATAAGCCACCCTTTGACAAAGTGAGAACAAAGCGTGCCCTGGAATTAGTTCGTTTTCAACATAATTTGATCGGTAAAAGTCAATGGCGTTGCTCAGCCAGCTGCTAGCTAAACCACTACCCAAAGTGGGAAGAGTGCATGAACTTTGGGTTCCTGTGTTCAGAAAGGTAGCACCTGGGCTGGCTATTGCGCTCCGGGGCTTCCCCTCCCTGTGCCCTAGAACTGCTGTGGGGCCTGGCTCTCTCTGCTCCACATCCCTGGAGCACAGAGCAGCCGTGGTGAAAAGACCTGTTGTGTCTCTCGGCACAAGAGGAGCTTTGTTCAAAGCTGAAGCTGCAGGTGTTGGCCCTGGCAGGCGCTTTCTCGTTCCCGGCTCTCTCTCCGCACTCGCAACCCTGTGCAAACAGAGAACTTCGCTCGGCAACGGCCACCGCTGTAACCGAGCAGCTCCCTGGGGTCTAGAAGGAAGAAGAGCTAGGCCGAGAGGGGAGAGGCGATGGGAGGCAGTCCTCTGCAGAGTGGAGCCTGCGCTCCACTTCTCTGCACGCATTTATGACCAGGAAGCCAGTGTAGTGTAGGCTGAGACCCTACCTGCCCGCAGACTGTCTCACCAGAGTGGTGCATGCTCTGGTTATCTCTCGCTTGGACTACTGCAATGCGCTCTACGTGGGGCTACCTTTGAAGGTGACCCGGAAACTACAACTAATCCAGAATGCGGCAGCTAGACTGGTGACTGGGAGCAGCCGCCGAGACCACATAACACTGGTCTTGAAAGACCTACACTGGCTCCCAGTACATTTCTGAGCACAATTCAAAGTGTTGGTGCTGACCTTTAAAGCCCTAAACAGCCTCGGTCCAGTATATCTGAAGGAGCGTCTCCACCCCAATCTTTCTGCCCGGACACTGAGGTCCAGCGCTGAGGGCCTTCTGGCGGTTCCCTCACTGCGAGAAGCCAAATTACAGGGAACCAGACAGAGGGCCTTCTCGGTGGTGGCGCCCGCCCTGTGAAAAGTCCTCCCACCAGATGTCAAAGAGAACCACAACTACCAGACTTTTAGAAGACATCTGAAGGCAGCCCTGTTTAGGGAAGCTTTTAATGTTTGATGTATTACACTATTTTAATATTTTTTTGGAAGCCGCCCAGAGTGGCTGGGGAAACCCAGCCAGATGGGCGGGGTATAAATAATAAACGATGATGATGATGATGATTATGATTCCCCAGTCCATTCAGCCTGTTGCTCCCATAGGAGAGAGTGATGCCCGTCAGCCTAAATGGCTTTAGATTAGACAAATTCATAGAGGCATATCGATGGCTGGAAGGCTTCCAAATACCCATTGCTGGAAACTGCAGGAAGGGAGAGGGCCCTGCTTGTGGGTTTTCCTACAGGTTGGCCACTATGGGAACAAACTGCTTGACTGGCTGGGCCATTCATTACATCCAGCAGGTTCTCAATCCAGAGTTCCTATCCAGGGACAGAATTGGTACCAAATAACTTGCATGGCCCTCTGATGTTCAGTTAAAGGGACCCCTGACCATTAGGTCCAGTCGTGGCCGACTCTGAGGTTGCGGTGCTCATCTCGCTTTATTGGCCGAGGGAGCAGGTGTACAGCGTCCGGGTCATGTGGCCAGCATGACTAAGCCGCTTCTGGCGAACCAGAGCAGCGCACAGAAACGCCCTTTACCTTCCCGCTGGAGCGGTACCTATTGATCTACTTGCACTTTGACGTGCTTTCAAACTGTTAGGTTGGCAGGAGCAGGGACTGAGCAACGGGAGCTCACCCCGTCACGGGGATTCGAACCGCCGACCTTCTGATCGGCAAGTCCTAGGCTCTGTGGTTTAACCCACAGCACCACCCGCGTCCTGATGCTCAGTTAGGAGAAAGGAAAAAATTTCCCCCATGGATTTTGCCCAGGCATCGCTTCCAGAACTGCACCCCTTCAAAGGCACCCGTTTAGCGCCAGGCCTGCTGCTACACCCCTTGCCCTCATTCCTTTTATAAAGCACCCTGGGGCTCGTGCAGAGTGCTGCCCTGAGCTCCTGGAGCAGCCCAACTGCAATCTGTCCCCAACACGTTTAGAATGAAGCAGCAGGGTCTCCCTGCAAGGCAGATCGCAGGGACAGGCCTCAGTACCTTTCTCTTCAAAAGTTAAGGATGTTGTGCCCCAGGGAGCAAGTTCAGTTTTGAAACTTTCCTCTTCCCACCACGCTTAATGCCGGGAGGCAGTCAGTGATCCTTAAAGAGGCTGCAAGCACACATACACACACTTCTCAGAGTTACCCTTGAAAGACCACCCCCATGGCAAATTTGGGTGAGGGGCAGCTGCCAATGTGGGACCGAGTTACCTCTGGCAACGCCTTAAACTTGCCCACTCCTGCCCAGTCACTTCGTTCCTTAACAGTGGCATGCTCCCATTTTTTGCCATACATCCAACAAGACCAGGGCCTTTTGTGTGGTGGCACCCGATCACTGGAATGCGTTCCCAGTGAACACAAGGCTGGAGCTGACATCGCCAGCACTTAAGCTTCAAGACTCACCTGTTCACCCAGGCTTTCCCCGAGGAGTGATCTAGCGATCGTTGCTATATTAAGCGAATCTACTGATTCGTGCTGTATTTTATGCTTGTTTCATGAATGCCGTTTCCTCAACTGATTTTATGCTCTTCACGGCCCAGTCTGCCATTTTCTCCTGAGTGCTGGTGGCGTGCAGATTCGCAAAACAAATAAAACTTCACAGTTGCTGGTTTTTTAAACCACAAGATAACTAGTTCTAGTTCAACTTTGTCAAGAAACCCACATTTATGCCAAAGGATTTTTTTTATTATTCTTATTATTATTATTACCACCGAGACAGGTTTGTTTGTTTTTTTTGTCCCACATACAATTCAGTTTTGTGATTAAACAGGACAAAAAAAAAATTACAAATAAAAAGAGAAGATGGAGTTCAAATAAATATACAATAAAAAGCTAACCGGCATTTAAAAAGGCAGGAGTGCTCTCAAGTCTGGATAAATACAGCACACAGATATGTTTGGGGACAAAGGGGACGGGTTCAGTGGGGCAGGGAGGGAAATAGGCCAAAGTTTCAGAAGTGCCTTGTGATCGGTGGTGCAGGGCGGGTGGGCGTGAGCCACCCAGTATGCTCATGAGATTCGGAGAGAGCACCAGTCTTTCGGAAAACAGCGTCCTTCCTCGCCCTCTCCCCCTTTGCTTTAGGCTCAAACTCTGCACTGTTTTTTAAAAAAAGAAGACCATGGCTCGTAGAAACTATCACACAGTGATAACGTGATCGTGGTTACTTCAGCATCAGCCCTTTGGGTATGTCTTGGGTTTCGTTTCTTTTTTTCAAATACTATACAGAATGTACAAAAAAAAGGGAAGGGGGAATTGGGGTGGGGAAGGATGCAAGGTGCTAGACAGGGATATCCAACGCAGCCTTAGCTGCAAAAAATAAAATACAATTACCCCAAAGGGAGCTCGGGAGCTCCCGCTGCTTTCCAGGACAGCCACTCCCTGTTTGCTGCTCAGCTCGTGCAGGCAGGTGCTGGCACAACGTGGACTTGCCCCCTCTCACCCTGCTCCACAGATGCGGACAGAGCCTCCCCAAAGGCCTCGCTGGCCCAGAAGGTGGAGGCAACCCATGTGGAAGAGGAGAGAGACCAACGCTACTCTCTCCGACTGGCTGATTCAGGCTGGAGGGCGAGTCCAGAAGTCACCACCTTGCAAGATGCCAGGGAGAGCCGACTGTAGCTGAGCGGCTGCAGCTTGACCCAGTCTCCTTGCCTAAGCCCCCTCGGTAGTGTTTAAAGGCTGCAACAGCGAGCCGGCTAAGGTAGGATCAGGTGCAGCCAGGGTCTGCAAGGAACAGTGTCGTGGAGCCCCAAACCCCACGCCCCCGATCCTATTTGTGCTCAGAGCTGCCCCAGCTGGCTGCTGAGGGTGGGCACAGCAGACCCTTCCCCAAAGAGCCCTCCTAGGAGAGGGAGGGGGGCAACATAAAAGAAACAAAACCAGTGCCCCAAAGAAGGCATCGCTCACCAAGCTCCCATGCAACAGATTCCCAAATTCAGTAAGGATCTTTTTTTTTTTTAGTGTTTTTTCTTTTCTCTTTTTTTAGTAAGGATTGCCAACTGCTTGGGTCAAGTTACAACACACGTAAGAAGAAAAAGAGTGAAATAAAAGCAAAGAAGCAGCCCCTCGGATGCAGGGTGGTTAACTTGAGACGCCCCAGAGGCTCCAACTCCTATCAGCCCCAGCCAGCAGGGCCAGGAGGGAGTCGTAGCTTAGCAACACCTTGCAGGCCACAGGTAGCCCAACTGGTGCAGGAGGGTCTGGGTCTCCAAGCCCCTGGATCTAAAGGTTTGGTCCCCTTCCTGGATTTGGCCCCTTCACCTGACAAGCAAGCCCCTCTCTTGCCTGGCCTTTGAAACCCACTTCTGAGGAGTCTACTTGGGTGCAGGACCAGGCAGGACCTTCCCATCTCCGTTCTGCCACGCTGGCCCAAGCGTTACCAGCCCTGCCAGAGTGACGGGAGAAAAGCCGTGCCTGTTGGTTTTTAGTTCGCTCCCTATCCCCCAGGGAAACAACGGCTGCGATTCAGTCTCGCCTGGGAAATAGGGAAGCCAGAGAGCCCAAGTGAGGGGGGGCTTATTGCTGAGATGAAAGCTCCACCCCACCCTGGGCTAGCATCTACGAACAGGCTTCTAAGGGTTGATGGCTTTTTCTAAAAAAGGGTGAATTGGGGAAGTACCAGTTATCCAACAGACTACACTGCTTCTTTGAGTGGTTAATAGAACCTGTCCACCTCTTGCTCAGAGTATGAACAATCCGAATGTTAGATCTCAAAAAGCCTGCCCAGCTTAAACAAGGCGATTCAGGTTGCCACAGAGCGGGGGGCCTCCCTTGGCCACCCCCCACTTCCTAATTTAACCAGAAACTAACCCCCGCCCCATGGCTCATCCTTCTGCTCCCCTTTCTATGGCTCCTTCATCCCCCCCCCAGACCCTCCTCCCACATTCGCAGACACGTTTCTCTTCCCTGAACGAGCGCCAGCAACTACGGGCCCGCTGGCCCATGTCCGGCCCGCGGGCGACAACTGGCTGGCTTCCCAAATCGACACGACTCCCGCTCGAGCATCCCTGTTTGCTTACCTGCGGTCTTTTCCTTCTGTCTCCTTTTGCCTCCCCCCCCCCTTACCTGTGGCCTCGCGTCTACAGTATCTGAAAGCAACAGGGGGCAGAGAAGGAAGGCCCTCATGTGCCCTCCCTCCTGGCCCATTGCTCCTCTGCTGGGTCCGCCTACGTGGGGAGCGTTAACGGTGAGAAGTCCTCATCGCCTGTGCGTTTGGAGTCAGGAAAGGGCAGGGGAAATGTGAAACTGAAGGAAGCACGAGGGATGGGGGGAGAACCTGCTGAACCACACACAGCTGGCACGTGATTTGCCTCCCCCCCCCCCAGAAGTCTTTAACAGTTAGCGAAGCAGTGCGAAAGCCTTTTGTGGCTGCAACTGGCTGGTGCAAGAGTAGTGGGTGGGTGCCCTTCTGCTTGCATCTCGCTCCTCTTTTGGCTTGGGACGAGGGATCTTGGCCAGGAGAGAGAGAAAGTTGCTTGGTCCAGGGCTGCTCTGGTCAGGAACGCTGCTGTGTGTCCTTTTCACACACCAGGAGGTTGTTTCTCCCCAAAGGAGTTCCGACGTCGAAGTCGCAGGTCCAAGGCAGCAGGAGGGGAGGTTTCGAAAACCCTTGCCCAAGATGGCAAGGAGGCAGAGCTTGCCAGAAAAGCCCTTCCCAGACACAGCAGAGCATCCCAGTCCAGGCGCGTGCTCTCTCTCTCTGCTCCCAAACTGGGAAAAACGTTTCCGCTCCCTGAGCTGGGAAAGAAAAACCAGACGACCTTGAAAGGAGCGGGGAAACTGTTTCAGTGCTGGTGAAGGTGAGTCCCAAGGTCAGGGAAGCAGCTGCCTCTTCCCCCAGTTGCAATGCCCCGGCCACCGCTGTCCAGCAGGGGTCAGTCCTGAGCTTGGGTGGGGATGGCAAGAGGGGCCCGTGGCGAAGAGAAGAGTTGTTAGCACCACTGGCTGGGCCAGAGAAAGAAAGAACGGACAAGGGGAATGAGAAAAGAGGGGGCTCCTGGGGACGCACCTGTTGGGGGCGGAAAGAAAGAGAGAGGCACTATGAAATGACAAGGAGGTGCAAGGCCGGGCCCCACAAGGCTGCTTCCTCCTGCCCCGCCCCCTCCTGGGCCTGCCTTACCTGTAGGCCCCGCCCTCTTTTCATACAAAGACCTTGGCAAGGGCATCGGCCCCAGCGCTGGCAATCAGGGCCTTGCTGGGATGGAAGGCCACGTCGTGGATGGCCTCTTCGTGCTTCTTGCGGTGAGCTGTGATCTCCTGCGTGCAGGTCTTGTTGTCGAGGTTCCACAGCCGGAGGGAGCAGTCGTGGCCTAGGAGAGGCGGAAGGGCCAGGGGGGTTAAGCAAGGAAGCCCACGTGCCCAGGCACGCACGAGGCTTAGTTAAGGGGTAATAACAATAATAATAATAATAATAATAATAATAATAACAATAATAATAATAAAAATAAATTTTATTTATATCCCACTCTCCCCAGCCAAAGCCAGGCTCAGGGCGGCTAACAACAATAAAATAGTACAACACTCTAAAATCATTTCATTATAAAATTAATTCAAATCAAATTGATGGCAACCATTAGACTAAAGTTCTGTGAAGATTGCCAAAGGTACCGGCAGACCTCTAAGCTGTCGAAGGAGGGGACGGTGCGAAGCCACTATGGCGAGGAAATAGGGTGTCGGACTAAAGGCCCGTCCATCCCACAAGCCCGCAAACTGGGCCAGTTGCCAAAGTCCCAGGGCCACAGGGACTGGGAGGTCACAGAGGAGTGGTGGGAGGAGCTGGCTGGGCAATCCCCAAGGGAAGAAGGCTCATGAGCCTAGGGAATGATGGTGAGATGATGAGTGATCAGAGGGAGAAGACTGGGAGGAGGAAGTGTTGGAAGCTGGAGAGGTGACAGGGCTTAGTGAGCTGGGAGAGTCTGTGGCAGAGAGCAGTCCAGAATCAGAGGCAGAAGCAGAGGCCAAGAGGCAGAGATGAGTTCAGGCTGGTAAAGAGTCACACTGGTCTCCCCCTCCTGATGTGGCAGGCTCCCCTCCCCGACTCCCAGAAAGAGGTATGAAAAAGGAGGAGCAAAGACAGACTGTGCATGCGGGCACAGTATCCGGTTGCTGGAAAGATGCCCTCAGGAGGAGGAAAAATAGGCTGCGGGGAAGTGGGGAATTTCAGCAACTGGTTTCAAGGGGTAAGACCCACAGGGCATGAACTGCTGTGCTCATGAGGCCTGAAAGTCTGTCCAATCTGTGAAGATCATGTTTTGCTGATAAAATGTTAACCCCAGCATTGAAAATGGTGTGATTTACTGACTGGCTGGCTCCGTGACATTTACAGACCTGAATTTGCACCTTTAAGGGGTGAGATTGGAAGGCCAACTCAAGCCCTTCACAAAGGATGGATTAAAACCCAGCAACTGCCAGTTCCTGATGCCAAGGTCAAAACTGTCTAGAATAAAGCTGAGTACATTCACGGGAGGAGCCTGACATTCTGCTCTGCCACTGGGGGGACCCACTTTGCAGACTGGGGTTCTACTGTGCACATAAGAGAAAGCTCCCAGTAAGAAGGCTGATTGCTGAAGAATGGATGCTTTTGAATTCTGGTGCTGGAGGAGACTCTTGAGAGTCCCATGGACTGCAAGAAAACCAAACCTATCCATTCTGAAGGAAATCAGCCCTGAGTGCTCACTGGAAGGACAGATCCTGAAGCTGAGGCTCCAATACTTTGGCCATCCCATGAGAAGAGAAGACTCCCTGGAAAAGACCCTGATGTTGGGAAAGATGGAGGGCACAAGGAGAAGGGGACGACAGAGGACGAGATGGTGGGACAGTGTTCTCAAAGATACCAGCATGAGTTGGACCAAACTGTGGGAGGCAGTGGAAGACAGGAGTGCCTGGCGTGCTCTGGTCCAGGGGGTCACGAAGAGACGGACACAACTAAACGACTAAACGACAACAACACCACATATGGAGATGGAGGAGGCAGCACTTACTTCCTGATATAAGGAACACTCCGTTGGGATCTACAGCGAGACAGGTAACAGCGTCCAGGTGTGCCACCATGGAGTGCACAGCTTTCCCTGCACAAAGAGGAGAACATTTTTCCCCTGAGTTACAAAATGTAGACATGTACGCAACTCCCGTTCCTGGGTTATTTGGAAAATCGTGTTCAGAGGGAACCTGCCAACTTAAAACTGTGTTTGAGAAGCAAGTGCTCTTCTAATCACTGCGAAGGAGGCAGAGGTTACAGGTTTCTGCCAACTCATCCATTCTGGCCCCCAAGCAACAGCCCTACCTGTGCGATTGTCCAGGAAGCGGATCCCTCGGTCGTCATGGGCTGTGATAGTGATCGGCTGGGTTGGGTGGCTCACAACTTGGTTGATCTGACTGGATCCTGTTCAGAGAGGAAGGGAGGAGAGTTTAAGGACAGTCCTTGGACAAGCAAACCTTTGCTTGGATAAGAGCAGAGATGTGGAAAAGGAGAAACTTCTCCAAGGAGGCAGCCTCAAACTTTTGCTGAATTTGCACTCGGGAGACCCTGAAAGAGAATGTGAGGGCCAGGTGCCATATGTTACTTATTTCTGCCAAGTTTTTAAACAGACTAAACATTATACCAGCCCTTCCCACACCTGGGGCCTTCCAGAGGTTTTCGGAATACAATTCCCATCAGCCTAAGCCAGCACAAAGCTGCCTTGTATGAATGATTTATTTATTTTGGCTTGAAACAAAAATGCGCCCAGAATTAACTGGACAGAGTTCTAAATTTAAAAAAATAAAAGTACAATGTAATAGAGGTATTCCTCCTTCTATGACTGAGAAGGGGGTGCTGTTCCCAAGATTATGCACACAATTGCACCTAAATTTTTTTGGGCTTCTGCTCATTTGTAAACTTAACCAACCCAAACTCATTCACTTAGTTAATGCTACAATCACTTTATGTATTTCACTTGTCAGTAGAAATAAGATTCACAGCAAGTGTGTTTCACTCCCAGCAGCTTCTATTCTTAGACCCAAAAGCCCCTTATAGCACAGTTCCAATTCCAAAATTTTATCTTCTCTGAATTTTGTCGAGGCGCTTTGATTTCCCCCCTCTCTCCTCTTCTAGATTCCTCAGAGATCCCCTTGCCTATCCCACCTCTGTCCTGTCCACAACTACACCCCGGCAAGAGCTCAGTCGGTAGAGCATGAGCTTCTTAATCTCAGGGTTGTGGGTTTGAGCCCCGTGTGAGATAAAGTGGAAATGAAGTGTAATTGTCAGGGAACTGCCATCAGTGCCAGAGGGGGAGAGAGCAAAATCCAGAGGGATTCCAGAGAGCGCCCCGGGATTGGGAGAGGCAGCCCATCCTCTGGGGAAGAGAATCAGCGTAGCACCAGTGGAGAAGGGGGGCAGATGGGGGAAGCGGCGAGGCGGTCCCATGACTTCTTGCCGGGGACCAGCAGGGAGAGTAGAGGTCCTCCACTGCCTACGCCCTCCTTGCGCAGAAGGCTTTCGCGCAGAGAGAGTAGGAGGCGACTAGGCGTCAAAGAGCTTCTTTGCTGGAAGAAGTTTAAGAAACGCCCACTGATGGATTCTACCAGCGATTGAGACAGCCACGGGTGAGTGGCTGTCCGGACAGAAAAGGTTCACTCAGGCATTCCAGCCAGGTGTTTGCACTGGCTTACGCACGAGCAACCCCTAGAACCATTACAGTAATGTTACCTTGAAATTATGTACACAGTATTCCAATGGTCACACACACACACACACACACACACACACACAACTACACCCCAGCAAGAAACAAACCCACTCTTGGGGAGTCTCTAAACAAGGGACCTGTAAACGCTGTTGCTGGTTTATCATCATAACCCCTGGTCCTAAGCAACCCAATCTAACTCGCTAGGATGACACTCCTGCTTGGGGAAATGTCCCACTTTGTGCAAGAGAACAGAAATGCCACCAATATAGGCAGGTTTCTGACTCATTTCAGACTAAACAGAACCTTTATTCTCTTCTTTTTTCTTTTTTTAATTTCTTTTTTAAATTTTATTGGAATTTTATTTACAACATAACACAACCCCCCACCCCCCAATATACAAATCCACCTTCATTAGACGTGAACATAACATACAGTAAACATAACATACAACAATACCAACAACCAAATAAAAGACTTCCATTATCCTGTATCTGGCCTCCTTATTTGCTTCTTATAAACTGTTTCCTTTATGAATAATTATTAAGATTTTTCTAATGATAACTTAAATATCCACAAAGTCTCCTGCAGACATTAATCGAAACAAGTCCACGTATGTATTTTATGTATGTGTTTTGTGAAGTATTCTCTGCATTTTATTCTCAATAATGGCAGAAACTCACAGATGGAGAAGACTTTTATTTTTCTACATCATTTTTATTTATAAAGGGAATCTTTGTATGAGCCAATGCTTTATTATCCCTTTGGAGCTGTGGTGCCTTCATGTTGTTGTTGTTGTAATTTTGTCCTTTTATGTTGTCATGCTTTATGGTTAACATTTTTGATTCTCTGTTTTTGTTATGTTTACACTTTTTTTTTTGCTAGCCCCACCCCACTCTCAGCCCCAACTCACCGCTGGCTGGCCTGGATTCCAGGGTCAGGACAGAGCAGTTGGCTTCCACATCATAGAGAACTGTGCATCCTGTCTGGAAGGCTGCCACGACGTGTGCAGGGTCGGTACCGGAGAAGGTGATGGAGGTAGGGATTCCGTTCTCTGCAGAAGATGGTAGAGACAAGCATCTAAGCACTGGGTTCTGGCGATGGTCCAAGGGTGACCACAGCAGTCGGAAGGATTTGGAGAGAACTGGAAGTTGCTCTGCCCAAGCCATACTGCACAGAGTTGATGAATCTCCACCTAACCTTGAGGATTTATATATCTCTAATCTTTGTTTTGACTCTTCTCTGAGCCACTGCACCTTTATCCCTCTTAAGAAGCCCTCCCTCCCTTTTTGGAGAAGCCCTGAATTATCTGCTGAGGGTATGTGAGGTTTTCAATGCTCCAGATGTTATTAACTTCTAGCTGCTACGAGAGATTGAGCGCCCTAATAATAATAATAATAATAATAATAAATTTATACCCCACCCATCTGGCTGGGTTTCTCCAGCCACTCTGGGCGGCTTCCATCAGAATATTAAAATAAAGGTAAAGGGACCCATGACCATTAGGTCCAGTCGTGGCCGACTCTGGGGTTGCGGCGCTCATCTCGCTTTACTGGCCGAGGGAGCTGGCGTACAGTTTCCGGGTCATGTGGCCAGCATGACTAAGCCGCTTCTGGCGAAGCAGAGCAGCGCACGGAAACGCCGCTTACTTTCCCGCCAGAGGGGTACCTATTTATCTACTTGCACTTTGATGTGCTTTCGAACTGCTAGATTGGCAGGAGCAGGGACCGAGCAACAGGAGCTCACCCCGTCGTGGGGATTCTAACCTCCGACCTTCTGATCGGCAAGTCCTAGGCTCTGTGGTTTAACCCACAGTGCCACCCGCGTCCCTCCCTATTAAACATTAAAAGCTTCCCTAAACAGGGCTGCCTTCAGACGTCTTCTAAAAGTCTGGTAGTTGTTTTTCTATTTGAAATCTGGTGGGAGGCATTCCACAGGGCGGGTGCCACTACCGAGAAGGCTCTCTGCCTGGTTCCCTGTAACTTGGCTTCTTGCAGTAAGGGAACCGCCAGAAGGCCCTCGGCACTGGACCTCAGTGTCCGGGTAGAACGATGGAGGTGGAGACACTCCTTCAGGTATACTGGACCGAGGCCATTTAAGGCTTTAAAGGTCAGCACCAACACTTTGGGGTCTGAGCTTGAGAGGGAAAGGCAGAGCAACTTCACACCACGAACGAATGAGAAGCCCTTCGGCAGGATCCAAGGGCCCAGCGTGATCAAAAAGAGGCAGAGGCTCACCACTGTCTGCAGTGTAGGTGCTGAGGCAGGAGGAGTTGCTGCTGCTGGGGTCCCATATCCTCACCGTGCCATCTGCAGAGCACGAAGCCAAGCGGTTCTTCGAGGAGCTGAAGGCCAGGCCCCAAACGGCGTCTGTGTGTCCGTCCAAGACGTTGCCGAGCACACTTGGGTCTGGGCCAGGAACAAGAACAAAAGCAAAACCTAGCGCTGCCTGCCTCCCTTTCAAGGTTCGCGCAGCAATGACAGATGGCCTAGATCATCACATATACCCGTATTTTTCGCTCTGTAACACGCACCCGACCATATCACGCACGTAGTTTTTAGAGGAGGAAAATCTGTAGGCATGCCACCCGTAGGCATTCCCTCCATAACACGCACAGACATTTCCCCTTACTTTTTAGGAGGAAAAAAGTGAGTGTTATGGTGCAAAAAATACGGTACTTCAGAGCCAAGGCCCAAACAAAGTTATTTATTTCATGCATTTAATATTTCCCCCTTCGACACGTGTATTTCTAGGGGAGGCTAATAGAACTGCAAACAGAACCTGATGCTCAAAAGCAGGAGCATCGTGCAGCAAACATCCAAGTAACATAAATAAAAGAGAGAGAGCCTGGAAACTTTAAATGCCCGTGCCAGAGCAGGCGCCAGGTGAGCCTCCCTGTGCTGGGATGGAGCTCCACAACTGGGGAAGCTCTCTCTGCGTGCGTCACCACAATAGGTGCATTGGATTTAGCCCTCTGGCCAAATGGAGGGCAAGTGATAGAGAAGAGCATGAGCTTTGCTTCCTGGTCCATGCACACGAGAAGGCCAGACCCCACAAACGCTCTGCCCTCCAAGACGCAAAACATGCAGGGAGTTACCGTCGCAACTCGGCAGTGAATAGTTTGTGGAGGCTCCAGCCTTGCAAAAACCAGCAGTCGGCAATACTGCCACCCCACCCAACCTGGTCCCCAATTCTAAACTTGCAGGGTGCGGCGAGGCACCCCCAAATCTTGTCCATGTAATGTCACTGTGCTGAAAACAGCATTCATCCCTAGATCAAAGAATGCAAGCAAGGAGACAAGAAGCAGCAGAGTTGGGGCAGCCCTTGCCTGTCCCTACCATAGCCATCGTAGGGGTCCATGCCAAGTTCCGGGATCCTCCAGCAACGGATCCTCGTGTCTGCGCCTCCACTGTAGCAATATTCGCTGTCGCAGCCCATGGCAACAGAAAGCACCGGGCCCCTAGCAGGGAACAGCAACGGGTGCATGAAAAGGAGCGGAAGGAACGAGGGTGGGGCTGTACCCACTAATGCTCCCCCGACACCCACCAGGGGGAATCCAACAGGCAGTTCTGCTTTAGGGCAGCTGACAGGTTAGCTAGGGATCAATGCCTTCCCCTTGCGCCTGCTCGACTCCTATACACACCTGTGTGCCCTGAATGCATAGACTGGCTCCACGTCGAGCGCTGCATTCCTGTAACAGCAAAGAGGGATGACAAAAGAGTCAGATGGGTGGCCTACACATCTACATGTCGTCTTTGCTTTTCTCACTTGCAGGCTGAGCTTACGTGCAACAACTCCCATTGTGTCGCAGCTCTTTTCGTCTCCTGTGACTGGTTACTTTTGTATGCTTTCCTCATACAGTTTCACAGAATCTATCACTAGGGGTTACTGCTTTCTTTTCGTTCTTGTTTTTATTATGCATTTTGTATTTTTACGTTGTGAACTGCCCTGAGATCTATGGATAAAGGGCGGAATACAAATTTTATTAATAATAATGGTAACAGATTTGGAGGGAGTTGGAAGGGACCCCCCCCCCCGGGGGCGATCTAGTCCAACCTCTTGCAATGCACGAATCATCTCCTGGGGGCATCTCTCCCACAGGGACGCTACAAGTTTAAACCACTTTGTGGATCCCATCTCTCCCCTATCCCCACAAGAACTCTGGGAAATGTCTGTACAACTCTCCACAGTCCTACAGCATTCCTTGACTGGGAGCCATGGCAGGCGGAGACAAAAAACAGGCATCCATCTGGCACACAGAAATGCCTAAAGCAGTTTCTTCCCTGTAATGAGAGACCTGCTGGGCCGGACCACAGAGCGACCTCCTCCAGCATCGAATTTCCCACAGTCACCAACCAGATGACTACAGGACGCCTGCAAGGGCAAGGACCCTTCCCTGCCGCTACTCCTCAGTAACTGGCGATCGGAGGCATGCTAAGCCACCTTGCCCTTCTCCAGGGAGGGAGCCAGCTAGCTGCAGCTCTAAAGACATTAAATAAGTTGGAGTTCTTGTTATTAAATATGCCAAGAAAAAAGCACACCAAGAACTCAGGCCAATATAAGTTTCAATAGTGGGAGTGGTCCCTACTCGCAAATCAGTAGTCAATGGTTTCTGATCCATAACTGACTTCTGCCCAATGATTGAAACTAAGACCTTCACATCAAATCTGACTATGGACTAACATGAACTTACTAGTTTCTGATCCATAATTGGATATACATATCCTTATGAGTTTGAGTTTGTAGTCTCTGTTTGAGTTTGTAATCTCTATTTGAGTTTGTAATCCTTGTCAGAATACATACTTTTGAATGGATTAGTTTTTGTTACAACTGGCTATTGATTTGCGAGTAGGGACCGCTCCCACTACTGAAACTTATATTGGCCTGAGTTCTTGGTCTGCCTTTTTCCAGCTCTAAAGACAGCAGGTCCTCCCTGCGCTCACTTTTTGGCGGCCACCGTCTTCTGGAGGTTCCACAGCTTCAGTGTGCCGTCCTCCGAGGCGGTGACCAGCGCGGACTCGGAGTGATGGAAGACCAAGGCCCGGATGCCATCGTAGTGACTCCGTAGGGTGAACTTGGGGTTCCACGTCTTCTTAAAGGCATCTTTGCTGTCCGAGAGCTGAGGCAGGGGTGGAGGAGAGAAGGAGGAGAAAGAATAGAGGGGCTGCTTAGTCAGGTGCCCCTCCCCAGCCCGAACCTCCCCCGCTGCTACAGAGCTGCTTCCTCACCACCTCCCACTCATGGAAGATTATTTCCCAGCTCAGGCTGCCCCCGTGGCAGTAGCCAGAGGAACAGAAGAGGGCTTGAGGAGGCAGCGGGGGGCGGGAATGGAAACCGACGAGTCTCGGAACTCACATCGCAACTTAGCTCATTGTCGTTGGTGACGGTCAGGTCCGCGAGGTCTCCCAGGCTGACCTCTCCTCCGCCAATGGTGTCCATTATAAAAACATCCGAGGAGAAGCCCAGGGAACCTGTTCCGGGGAGGGGAGAGGAAAGCTTACGAGTGTGGCAACGCGCCAGCTACAGGACAAAGGAAACAGGGCAGGGTGTAGGTTGTTTTGGATGGCAACAGGGAAGTGTGGCAAACAGCGCTTGTGGGAAAATTAAAATAAAATAAAATTGGCACAAGGCTTGAAGCAGACTGAATGGCACGACTTTATTACCCACAAGGCTAAAACTGAAAGTAGAGGACTTCCCCACACATTAGAAAACTTTCACTGGGTAACTTAAAATGTTCGTTGCTTTCTATACAAATAGCAGCCTGGGATAATAACTTGTTTGGTTGTTATTTTGCATGCATTGCCCGAACACCAGTTTCTGGGTTAGGGGTGGGGTATTTCTTGACCTGCATGGTGCTGTGATAATGTTGGACGAATTTAATAAAATCAAAAAACAATGCCCAAAGGAAAGGGGGTGCGGCATAAAGGACAAACCAAGCCTTTGCACCTTCGTGAGATCTGGGTTGACTGGAGATGGCTGCCGGCATGGAAGCTTTCGGGGGAAGCCCATCCACATCTTGGAGGTCGGCTAGCATGCCCTGCAGCTTCACCCGGCGGCTTTCTGCAGAAGGGGGGGGGGGAGTTGGAGAAGAGAAGGTCAAACCAGCCTCTGGCCAACACACAGCAGCCGAGATGACCCAGCTGCTGAACGTTGGTCAATCGCGGTAAAAGTGCCCAGGCGTTTCCCCCCACATCTCCACCCCGATAGCTGACTGAGACACAATCAGGAGGAATTAATCAGGAAACCCCCATGCAGCCAAGGGGGCATTTCAGATGCAGAGGAAACTTAGATGCAGCTCTGTAACTACCAAGTTCATTGCCGTCTCCCGCTCGCCGCATGTCCCCAGACCCCTCGCCGTTCTCCCCCGAGCCAAGGAAGTCGAACTCGCTCAGTGCATCCTCAGAGTCCTCGTCGTCGTCTTCATCCTCCACTTCTGGCATCAGGGGCTTGTTGGTGAGCTGCCGAGAGGGACAGGGGCAAATCAGAGCTTGGATGTGCATTGTGGCCACATCTGCATGGGCAAGCACCAGCCCGACAAGAGAACCTCCCCGCCTGAAACTAAGGAGCATGACCGGGCCAGTTTATGGCCTACTGCAGGTGAGTTTTGTAGGTATCCATGTCCCTTTGTGTCCTCAGAACAGTAGCGGAGGGGGGGAGCACAGAATGAAAAGGCCCAACCCCCAGGCCCACCGTTCCTAACAAAGAGATTCCAGAGACCACTGTGGACTTACAAGTCCTTTGTGGGCATGTCACTGGGCAAAGACTGGCAGGAGAAGATTTACGCTTTGCTTTTCCAACTTGAATACAATAATAAAGAGTATTTAAAGTGTGGCAAAATGCCAACACAACAGCCTCAACTGTGAATGGGAGCCACAAGCCTAAAGGGGGGAAACCAATGGACTAATGGATGAGATTTCACTGCCCTGGCAGAGCCGGGGATAGAAGCTACAATCCAAATGCCTGTTTTGCCTTGCTCTTGCTTCCCACAAAGGGAGAGGAGATGATGGACCATCCCTGGAGGAGTATGCTGATTTGGAATAGCTGGCCTGATACTAGACTTCTGGGTGGGTGCGGTTATAAGGGGGGTATTAGTGAGTGGGAATATTCTCTGTTTATTATTTGAGCATAGTTAATGCTTGTTTGTTTCCATGAATGTTATATTAAACAACAGATTGCTGCATTGTATGACACCCCCTTTTCTTATACTCTGTGGGTGTGTGGGTGCATATGTACACACACACACGTGATATATAAATTGCTGAAAGTCACTTGGAGAACTAAGCTAAGAAGTTTAAGAAATAAGTAAAATATCTGCAGCTGCAGATAGCTCAGTTGGTTAGAGCTGATAACACCAAGGTTGCAAGTCCGATCCCAGTATGGGAAAGGTGCATATTCCTGCATTGCAGGGGGTTGGACTAGATGGCTCTCAAAGGCCCCTCTCAACTCTGCAGTTCTATGATTCTGACTCCCTGCCCTCTGTTCTATATTGCTAAAAAAACCCAATTCCCTTCAAGAAACCTAAGTTCAGCCCCCTTGCCTCCATGGTGCTAAACTAAGTCCTCCATCTCTTTGCTAGGTTCATGGCGGGGAGGATACCTTTACTCGCTGCTTCTTGTGTTGCCGCTGCGTCTCCAGGGGCAGGCTTTCCAAGTCCTTCTCCTCATCACTGTCGTCTTCTTCCTCGCAGCCCTGCAAGAAGGGAATCTTCTCCATCACGGAGCCGCCGGTCCGGTCCTTTGCCTCCTTCCCAGCATTCCTGCAAGTAAGAAGGGTAAGGAAGAACAACTGACACTGGGGTCTAGGGTTGCCTCACGTGAAAACAGAAAAGCATGCTCATTATCAGGAGAAAAGCAGCAGCAAATTGTTGTATGGGGAATATGAACTCAGCTCCAAAACAGGCTTGAAATATATTCACTGAGGGATTCCACACTCCCTCCTCTAATTTGATTTGTGTAGATCCATTCCTGGATCAACTGACAGCCATCAGCACAGTCACTTATGACTTTATGGACCACCACAGTGCAAGGCTATGCACAACCTTCCCTGACCAGGGTTTTCATTTTATTTATTTATTTCCCACCTTTTGCAAGAGGCCACAGGGAGGTTTACGGCATATTGAACAATGTAACTACCAAACAACAACAACAACATGACACAAATACAACTCAGAATTGAAACAGCTGCATCCAACTGTTAATAAATGCAATCTGACAAATTTCCCTCATCCAAAAGCCTGGCAAAAAGGCTGCATCTACACGCGCTTTCATAAAAAAAATACAGATGTGGGGCCACCACTGAAAAGTCCCTTCCACAGGCACCAGCACTACACCCTTTGTCCTGTACAGGGACGACTGCCAGCCCAGTCTCATCCCCTGGCCTTAAGGAACCTGCTCTTCGAAAAGGTCTCCTCTGTACATCCCATGGGTGTTTCATTCCCTACTGCTAGCCACAGACCACGGAAGTAGGAAAATATCAGAGTAACGCAGAGTCTGAACATCTGGTTTAAAAAATGCAAACTCTGAAAAAAGAACACTGGCCATGACCCTCAATGAATGTAGAAACGGGAGCCACCCCCTCCTTGCAGTTCTATGGTGAAAGTCCTGTGTACCCTGCGCTGGCAATCAGAGCAGCGATATAATACAGAAAACCCTCCCCCATTAAAAACTGTATTAAAAAGGGGGGGAAGTTACAATTGGCCATGCATACTTTAGGCGTGTGGCTCCCAGAGGGTTGACAGCGGGTCAAGGTGGCCCTCTACTCTGAAGGGGGGGCAAGGAACATGGAGAAGCTTCTCTTCCTCGCTGCCCCATGGCCAAAGTGACTGATAACGTACCTTTTGATCTGCTCCTCTATCTGCTTGACGAGAAGGGACTCGCCCCCATTCAGCCCAGCAGGTCCAGGCGCAGGCCCAGTCCCCAGGCCGCTGGGCTCAGCAGCACCGTTCAGTTCCATGGAGCAGCGGCCGAGCAGAGAGCGGACTCGCTTGGATCGCATGTCTAGGATGGTGTCCGTGTAGCCCACTTCCTCCAGGTACCTGGGGAGGCCGATCAAAAGGGGCCTTCAGTATAGGGCTGAGCAACTTGGCAGGCCCCGGGACAAGCCTGCCTTAGAGGGAGGCTGCCAACAGGGCAGAGCCTCTTTGCTCACCCCCAGGAGCTCAGTTCCTACTCACTGGCGGAGGAGTTGGCGCCCTTCCTTCCACATGAACTGGTTGCTCTCCAAGGAGATCGGTTCCGCTGGCCCGTTGGAGACTAGGGGCGAAAGGAGGAAAGCTTTCCATCAGCAGCTGGCAAGGAAACTACAGGCATACCTCATGTTACTTTTGCTTCATGTTACGTTCTTTCAGGTTAACGTCCCGCAGCGACCCGGAAGTTCCGGAAAAGGTTACTTCCGGGTTTCGCTGCTCGCGCATGCGCAGAAGCACAAAATGACATCACGCGCATGTGCAGAAGTGACGAATTGCAACCCGCGCGTGCGCAGACGTGCCGCTGTGGGTTGCGCTCTTTGCATGTTGTGAACAGGCCTCTGCAGTATGTTCTCAGCCTTGCAAATAGCAAGGCCAGAATTTGCTATTTAAAAACCCAGAAAAACTCAAACCATATGGACGGCCTAGAGCAGGACTAGGAAAGTCTTCCAGCGGTCAAGGAGAGCAAATTTCCCCTCCTCTTCCAGGTTCTCTGATCTTTTGGCCCATTCAGGCCAGCTCTGTCTCCTCTGACTGCCACTAGGACAGCTCCAGGGCCTCAGGAAGGTTTTTCTCTCCCAGATTTGCTATGCCTTTTAAACAATAACTATTTTCCTCCTTCCAATCCCTTTGTCATTTTGTGCAGTGTCTTTTCAACTGAAAGCCTGAAGACAGGGATTGTCTCGTATTCTTAACTGATCTGAAGGCCACTGTAGGAATATCTTTGGCTAGAGAGATGGTTAACAAAATGCTTTAATTAAATTATTTATTGATAGCTTTTCCTGTGCACACGAAGCACAGAGTCTGGGAGTGAACTTCAGTATGCAAAGCCAAACCTGAGCTTTGCCACTGAGCTAGAGCCTCTTCCCTGAATCTACCCTCCTGCCCTTTTCCTCCTTCCCCTCAACACAAAAGGGAGTCTATTGCTAACGAAGCACCGGCCTCAACGTTTATTTAAATACTTATGGGCTGCCTTTCCATTTGTTTTGGCACCTGTGGCAACTTCCAGACAGCAAACAAACAATGGAAGAAATCCAAGCTCCAAAAGTTGGAAGAGTAAGATTTCACTGGACACAGCCTGGAATGTCTGGAAGGTGAGGGAGTCTGTGCAAGATACTACTTAAGTAGGAACGCCCAGCTCTCATTCACCAGCCGCCTGAACTTAAAAGAGCAGCGGACACATCGGAAAACAACTGCAGGAGCAGGTTCCTGGATGTCTCTCATTGTGAGAGGATGTCATTGCCATTCCAGGGGAACAACAGTGGAAGCACCTGTTTAGGCCCTGGCAGGTGGCTCAGCAAAGGATAAAGGAACATCACAGGTGCAAGTGAGCAGATGCCCAGACACCTGAGGGTGGGGCCGGGAGCACAATACCTGGTTCTGACATATCTGCTTTCTTTTCCCCCTGGTTCAGTTCAGTGCCAAATTTCAGCTTGTGGTACTTTGACCTGGAAGAAGCAGAAGAAACCTTAGGAGCAAATGAGCACGTGTCATGTTCCTTACAGCAGGTGATGGGTGCAGAATGCAACGGTGAGGCGACTGTCGCACAAGGATACCAGGAGCGGAAAGAAGAATCCAGACTGTCTCTCCCCACTGCACCATGAGGGAAACTCCACCCTCTCCCCAAATGAGAGCCCAGCAGCGGCAGCAACCCAGAGGTGCCCACTCTGCCACCACAAGGGGGGCGCACTGGTGTGTGGCATGGCTCACCTCTCCTGCTTCAAAGCGTATTCCAGCATCTTTATCCTCCGTACAAGATCTGTCTTGAGGTTCTCTTGGCCCTTCCTTTCCCCCTGAAGAAAGGCCACTTGCGCCTGGAGGGTTAAGAACTGGAAGTCAGAGGCACTGAATTCTGACAGCACACAACAACCCCATTCCTGCCCAACCCAGGATTATGAGGGAATTATAGGCTAAAACCCAGGGGTAGGCAACCTAAGCCCCGTGGGCCGGATGCGGCCCAACTGCCTTCTCAATCCAGCCCACGGATGGTCTGGGAATCAGCGTGTTTTTACATGAGTAGAATGTGTCATTTTATTTAAAATGCATCTCTGGGTTATTTGTGGGGCATAGGAATTTGTTCATATTTTTTCTAAAATATAGTCCGGCCCACCACATGGTCTGAGGGATGGCGGACCGGCCCATGGCTGAAAAAGGTTGCTGCTAAAACCCATCTCAAAAAATATTAACAGAAGTACACACACACACACACACACGACTTGATGTATGTAAATAAGTCTTCCCCTGATGCTGAGTTCACTCGTCTCATTGGCTGAACTGCTCTGAGGTCACAGGATTAATAAATGTCATTGCAACAGCTTGAAGGGAACAGGAAAAGGCATCTGGTTACAAAGGGCCCATGAACAGGAGAGGCTGCATGCTGCAGGGAGGTTTGAGAAACAAAACAGATAAGGCGGCAAAAGAAAGGGGAGGGAAACCCTCTAGGGACAAGGGCTGTGTGTTGATAGTGCGAAGAGGGGCAGGATTTTATATGACAGCTCCCTTATTAAACCAAATCCCAATCCTCCCTTCATCCCCAACAGTGACCAAGTGGAAAAGACTGGGAACTAGGTGACTCCATCCTATTCCGTGTTTTCTCTCAGCAGGCCATGAATTCAAAATAATATGCAGAAGTCCTGCCCTTGCTGCCCTGTTTAACTGCTATAACAACTTTACAACATTGATGCGATAAGCTGCACATGGCTGCAAAAGCGACATGGTTTGTAAACTGCAGGAGACACACTCCCGGTACGATAAGCAGGTTTGATATTCTGTCTTAGCTGAACAGCAGCGGAATCTGTCATGAGAGGGTAGGAAAATTGTAAGGGGTTGCAAATTGGGGCATTTCACTGACACAAAGCCATGCCAAAGGCTCACTGACTTGCCTCCATCAGTACATGGATTGACAGCACCGCAGGAAAATCCAGCCACAACCTCACAGGTTTAACAAGTTCATGTTTACAGAGCGCTTTTGAAAAAGCTGGACTGCACTAAGTATGTAATTAAAAATGCAGCTGAAATTCCCAGGAGTTTGCTTCTGTACATATTGCTTGGACTGGGCAACTAGTTTCCACTACAGTAATAAGAACACTTCAAACGGGAGACAGGCAATGTGCTCTTTTCCAGAATTGAAGATGGCTTGAAAGGGAAATTCTCTTTAGTATTTCTATTTCTCTGCTGTTTTCCCAGCACTAGGACTTCAAGTGGGTTTGGTTGCTGCCCACAGTGCACACAACTCATCCCACTTTCCCTGCAGGTAAACAGATTTTGCAAGTTTTTGTATTGTTCCAAAAACTTGCAAAACCTGTTTGATGAGAGGTAGCAGCAAGACAGGAGGAGACCGTGTTCATCATGGGAAGCAAAAACACTTCGATTCACTCAAGATCCATTTTTCATTCTCAGTCTCCATTTCTCAGGTGCAATATTAAGACTGTCAAATGTCCCCACTGGTAGGAAAGTCACATACTGACTTTAAACAGCTTCCCTTAACACAATTCCCAGCCACACGGAATCAGTTCTTGTTGAACAGATTATCTGAAATTTGCCCTTGACAGGATCAGCTGCGTGCACCCCAGGGAAGCTCACAAACGAGTAACAGTGGGTGGCTCTTGCCTTTGTCTCCAGCATTTACAAATCAGCTGTTTACTGCCTCTGAATACCATTTTAAGCTAATTATGGCTAGCCACCTAAATCTCTCTGTGAACATGCCTAATCTATCTTTAAAGCTGCCTATTATGATTACATCTCTATTCTGCCTTTCCTCCAAGGAGCTCAATGTAGCATGTGTGGTTCTTCCCTCCTAGTTTTATCCTCACACCAATCCTGCAAAGTAGGTTAGGGTGAGCATCATAGCCAAGGGGGTATGTGCACTTGGATCCTGGCTGCTCGCCAGTCAGCTGAATGTAATTTCATTTTGCAGAGTTTCAACATACTGCCGATTGGTTCTATTAGATGACCCCAAGTGCCAGTTTTTAAGAGTGAACAATTGCTTCCGATTTACGCTCCCTTATCATTCTGGTGGCAGATAACCATTCAGTTTTTAAGAAAACCGAACATGATTTGTGAGAGGCAGAGCTTCCCATGGGACGTGCACTGTGATTTCAGGTGCTGCCTGCTACCTCTGGTCAAACAGATTTTCAGCACAAAACAAACAGTGGTTCACCAGAGCAAAAAAAGAGGATGGGCACTTATACTATGAGCAGTAACTTCTGGCTACAGCCCTTTCAAAAGATAGCTAGGACCTAGGAGACCAAGGTTCAAATCCCCACTTGGCTCACTGGGTGGCCATGGCGCCAGTCACTACCTCTCAGCCTAACCTATCTTGCAGGGCAGTTGTGCAGGGCAATTGTGCAGGGAAAGAGAACCATATTCAGCACCCTGAGCTTGTGGGATAAGAAGGCAGGATGTAAACAAAATAAATAAATAAGTAAGAGCACAATGTCCATCTCTTAACACAACCTCTGTTCAGCCCCCTGCTCTACCGCCTTTGCATCCATGCTAAAATACAATATGTTGTTCCATCTCCCTTTGTGCCAGTTACTATGGCAGTAGGGACAGCTGCTTCCCAACCACCTGGGAGCCATAGGTGTCAGCTTCCTCCTTCCTCTTCCCATACACTCCCCATTTGCTATGGAACAGGTGGCAGCAATATCCACCCACTCACCCCCCACTCTGTCACCACAGAAAGTAGAGATGAAATCCTTTCACAGGCTTCCACTCACGGTTGGCAATACATCAGTTACTTTTCAACCTTTTGCCTTTCTGAGGTAATGCAGATATATTGCCCAGGTCACTCATTTCTTTCCACATCCCTACAAGGGGAAGGGACCAACTATCCACCCCCTTTAGTACATCCAGCCTCAAACCTACTCAACACCCAAGACAACTTTAGAATAATGTGCCTCCCTGCTTTAATCAATTTCACCCATTTCACTATAAGCGGTTATTTGGACTGAGATTTGCCATCCACCTCCCTGTTCCCATTTCCTGTGCTAAATCTCTGGCAGCCAGATAACTCTGACCTGAAGTGATTAATACTCTCTAAACCCTAAACAATGAAGCAAGTTTCACGGAAATCAGTGGGGGATGCTACTGCTCTTGTGTTCTTTGAGACAAACAGAATTCTACACCATAATCATAAATTGCTTTGGGTTTGAGGGTTCGCTGACTCCATCCCCAGAGGCTCACTCTCCCTATGTGTATCTTCCCCACTGACTATGCATCACTGGCGGTGGTTGAGACAGCACTGAACATATTCTCCCTGCTGCCCTCACCTAGTAGGATGTGTGTTTAAGTTCATAGTTCAGAAGGGAAGATCCCGCTTTGCATATGGAAAGTTCAATGCCTGGTGTCCCCAGGTAAGGCAGGGAGAGACCCCTGCTGGAAACCCTGTAGAACCACTGCCTGAGCTGGGTGCACCAATGGTCTGGCCTGGTATAAGTCCACTTCCTATATGCAAAAAAATCCACAACTAGCAGCTCCTAAACCCTCTTCTGTGGGAATCAGCCCACCATCGCAACATATGGCATCTCTAGAAGGGCGGCAAAATTGGGGGAGGGAGGCGGAATTCAGCCCCCTCAAATTTCCCTTTTTAACAGAGTACAGTAGGAGAAGCATCCTATTTGCATAGGGATATTCCTGATGGAAGAATGGAAAGGAAGGCCTCAGGAGCACAGGAAGCGGACACAGACCATCTAGCTCAGTACTGTCTGGGCAACCGACGACAGGAGTCCTTCTGGAATTACAGTCTCTCTTTCCCATTGATTTAAGCACATCTTCCGCCTTGGCATCCTGGGCCTTGAAGTGGAAGCAGCCGCCTTCCCCACCAAGTAGTACTTGAGAAGGTGTCCAGAGTGAGATTAGATGGAAAAGCTTACAATGAACACCTTTTGGAAGGAGGGGAAGTATCTCTTCCCCTCCCCGCCAAACCATAATTTTAACTGCTACATGAAAGGAGCCCAAAACACTCTTTGGGGTTTATCCCCAGATCCACCTTCTATGGGAATAATCCCCACAGCCTTCCTGAGGGGCCCAGACCCTCCAAGTGTCCCTATTTCCAGGGACAGGCCTGGAATTACAAAAGCAGCCCCAGTTTCTGATTTGATCCCGTAACGTCCCATTTTTCATCTCTTTTCATGGGAGAAATGTTGGAGGGTATGGAGCTATGTGACCCCAGAGCCAAGGAGATAAGTAACTATGCAACCTTTAGAAGACATTTGAAGGCAGCTCTGTACAGGGAAGTTATTAAATGTTCAGTGTTTTAATATATGTTGGGGCAAGCCGGTGGCATATTTATATATTTATCATATATAATGATGATGGGATAGGAAGCCCCTGTTTTCAACGAAGAAATCTTGCAGGGCACTGGGGTGGCTGGGGGCGGTGTTGCCAGGCCCCCTCGCGGGGCTATGCAATGGGGGGTAAGAGTGCCTTCCTCTGGCAGGGACTCCCCCGTTTCGTGGCCGCAGCCGTGACCCCCGGAGCTTGGGGGGCGCCGCGCCTGCCCCCACCCCCACCCCCGCCAGTCCCGTCGGCCACCATTTCCCACCAAGATGGCGACGGCAGTGGCAGGAGCAGCAGCGGCGGGAGGAGGAGGAGGAGGAGGAAAGAAGAGGCGACCCCGCGGCTGTCCCCGCCGCCCCCGCGCCCTCGGCTCCCGGTAACCTCCGGCCCCTCTCACCTGCAGCTCGGCCCTCTCGGCCTCCCAGCGGCTCTTCTCGGCCTCGAAGCGCGCCCACTCGTGCTGGATGAAGTGCAGGATGCCCGGCAGGCTCAGCTCGCCGCGGCCGGGGCCGCCCTGAGAGGCCGCCGCCGTGCCTTGCTGAGGCGGCGGCGGAGGGGGCGGCTGAGGCGGCTGGTCTCCCGCCGCCGCGGCCAGCGCCTGCTGGTGCAGCTGCTGGGCCCGCGCCGCCACCCGCTCGGCCTCCATCGGGGATCCGGCCGGCTGCGGCTGAGGAGGAGGCGGCGGCGGCGGCGACGGGGAGGAGGAGGAGGAGGAGCACGACGACGACGACGAGGAGGAGGAGGGCGGCGGCGGAGGAGGTGGTGGCGGCGGCGGCTGTTGCTGCTGCTGCCACATAGTGAGCCCGCCGCGCGCGGGGGGAGGGAGGAGGAGGGCGGGCGGCGGGAAGCGGGTCCCGGTCTGCGAGGGGAGGAGGCGGAGGAGGAGAGCGAGAGCGGGGGACAGAGAGGACGTGCGGGAGGGAGGAGCGGGGGCCACTTCCTGCCAAATAGGGAGCCGACCAGGAAATGCGGCCTAGGTCGGCTCGGGAGGCGCTCGCGGCTACTACGCCGCAGAAGAGTGTGAAGCCGGAGGGAGAGAGAGCGAGAGAGAAGGGAGGGGAGGCGTTTCCATGGTGACTGGAGGGGTGGGCCGCATCCTCCCTCTCTCTCTGATCGCCGCCGCCTCCTATTCCTGCTCCTCTCGCAGAATTTGGGGGGGGGGTTGCCGTGGTAACCGGAGTAGGGTGGGGGGAGCGCGCGCCGCTCTATCCTTCCCTGCGCGCGCAGGCTGCTCCCCACCCTCGTGCAACGTCCGCGCGCAGGGCCCCGACTCTAACCGCCCGCCCGTTCGAAAGAGAGCGGGCGAAGTCACCATGGCAACGCGGCCTGCTACCTCGGGGCCTTCGGGAAAAGCCGCCCCCGAGCAGGGCGCCCACCGCCAGCACCTTAGCAACCGGCTGCCGTCATCCCTCCTCTTCCTCCTCCTCCTCCTCCTCGGGAGGATAGACAGGGTGGCAACATACACTCCCCCCCTCCCCCCATGAAGTGAAATTAAATTTAAAAGGACGTGACAGATCTGAGTGGGATTGCATTGGGGGCACGCAGAAGCCTATTTGGGTGCGGGGTGGGTGGGTGTGAAGGGTAAAGTAGAAGAGGGACGGTGTGGTGTAGTGGTTAGAGGACTGTGGCATGGGAGACCAGGGTTCACTGGGAGAGGCCTGGCGACTGAGGGGGTGCCCCTCTCAGCCTACCTCGCAGGGTTCTTGTGAGGATGAAACGGGGAGGATGAGGGCTGTGAGTGCCGCCTTAAGCACCTTGGTGGAAAGCTGGGGTGCAGTTGCAATAGGTAAAGGGACCCCTGACCATTAGGTCCAGTCGTGACCCACTCTGGGGTTGCGGCGCTCATCTCGCTTTATTGGCCGTGGGAGCCGGCATACAGCTTCCGGGTCATGTGGCCAGCATGACTAAGCCGCTTCTGGCGAACCAGAGCAGCGCACGGAAACGCCGTTTACCTTCCCGCCAGAGCGGTACCTATTTACCTACTTGCACTTTGACGTGCTTTCGAACTGCTAGGTGGGCAGGAGCAGGGACCGAGCAACGGGAGCTCACCCCGTCGCGGGGATTCGAACCGCCGACTTTCTGATCGGCAAGTCCTAGGCTCTGTGGTTTAACCCACAGCGCCACCTGTGTGCAATAAATAAGCCATATAATAAATAAGCAGGTTGTTGCCAAGGAGTGAGGAAGGTGTGCAAGTTCAGCCAAGGTGTCCTCTCAGAAGGGCCTGTGGTCAGGGGTGGCTATTTCTGCTGTTGCCACTGTATTAAACGTCATCATCATTGCCATTTGTTATTGTTATCTTTTAAAGCAACATCCATGCGCACAGCGCTTTGCTGACTGGAAGAGGGCAGGGACATGCCCAAAGGTCTCCTGCTCCCTCAGTCTGAATTCATTGCATATTCCTGCCCCTTCCTCTCTGGTCTCCATTGCATTGTGACAACGATTAGACTCGCCCCAAGCACCACCATAATGTAACAACAGCTGTCCTTAAGAAGTGGTGCTTTCGTTGAGATTCCTGCCTTGCAGGGGGTTGGGCTGGATGACCCTTGGGTTCCCTTCCAGCTCTGCAATTCTACGTGAATTGATGAGTGCTGCAAGTCCCGTTCCCTTCTTAAAGAATGGTTTGTCAAAAAGGCTACTGTCAAATAATCTTTAAAGTGCCTGTAAACCCTCCATGCTTTCCATGTTTGCTTTCAAAATGATAGATATCAGGGCTCAAGTGTGCCTGAACAACTCCCAGATGCCTGGGGGAGTAGGGTGTGATGACAGTCTGCACATACTCAGAGACATTATCTTCCTGCTTCCTCTGCCTGTCTTTGCATAGAAAACAGGAGCTGGGCTCAAGGCGTAGCTCAAACTGAGCCCAAGGAACAACTCCTGCAGTGGGGGGGGTCCTTTTATTCTGGGGACCCCACAATTTGCTAAGGGTGCAGCCTGATCTGAATTTCATAGGTGTGTGTCTTTTTAAAAATCCTTACTACACTCTTCCAGTACACTGGAATAGTACCTGAGCTTGATAAAATGGGGATGGGAAGGACCATGTTTGCTGCCCCTTGATTTCCTTGGAGGACATAAAATGGCAATTATTTACCAATGTGGAAGAAAGTGAAGGGGTATACTCTTGGGGTTAGCATTGGGCCAGTGACCAAATTTGTTCCCTGCACCCCATTCATTGAGAATCAAGCCTCCGTCTGCACAGCATAGCAAGATGGTGATGAGTGTTAACTCTGCTATTATGGAAAAGAAACCTGATCTTTTTTGTTTGTGTTTTTTCTCCTCCTGAGTAAGCGGCCTTCCCCCAAAGGAAGCTTTCTTGTCCCAGCCCCCCCCCATTTGTCTACAGAGGGAGGAGGGTTACAGAGCAACGATTGTCCCTTTACAAACACAAGCCTTGATCCCTCCAGGGAAATGAGCAAGCTTGATCTAAATAAGATTAAATAAGGCAGCCCCTCCTGTTCTCCTGGCCCATCTGCCACGCCAGGAAGATTAGTGGGTTTAAAAATAAATTAAAAAGACATATGTTGAGGGGTTGCACTCATTAGCGCTACTCTTTTGTTGGCTTCCCTGCTGCTGGTGGTTAATGCCCAACACGAGCCTTGATGCTTGCACACGCCTGAAAGCATGTTGGCATTTTCTGGCGGCGCTACCGTTCTCCAGGCGGCGCTGTTCCCAACACACCTCGCCATTTACCCTGCTTGTGAATTCTACTTCTGGCATTTTGCAGTTCTTTTGGAAGGGCTGCTTGCAGTTCATTGGCAAAGACTGCCTGTGGAATTCACCTGCCCTTATTGTGAGATCTGAATGTGTTCCATCTCATGGCAGGTCACTTGAATCCATATATGAAGCCAGAGTCTAGATAAGCACTGCATGCTCTGGCCAGCAGAAACACTCCAAAGTCTCGGGCAAAGTCATTTCCCAACTCCCACTGGAGTTGCCAGGGTCTGAATCTCGGACTTCCAGAGCATGGGCTCTGCTACTGAGTGATGGTCCCTCCATATTTTTAACAGCAGTTCATGGCCACTGAGCCTAATGGACAGGGGTGCCAACTTGAATAAAATATGAGAGGGCAGGTAAGCCCCACTCTATAATTGATCACATCAACTTGGTGGGGGGGTTCAGCCCCCTCAAATACTTTATTGGGCAGCTAGAAGTTGTCTCCTATGAATGGCTATGTTCTACCATTGGAGGCAGTATGCTTCTGGAAACATCACAAGAGGAGAGTGCTTTTATTCTTGGGTCCTGCTTATGCGCTTCCCATAGGCATTTAGCTGGCATGTGTGAGAACAGAATGTTGGGCTATGATGGCCTGATTCAGTAGGCTCCTCTATTGTTCTTACGGTTTTCTGGATATAATGGCTCCACAGGTTCCCCATCCTTCACTCAAGAACACTTCTTCTTTGTGCTGGTGACACGCCAAAGTCTGGATTGCCTAGAGCGCTGCGTTCTGGGGCGCAACAGTGTGTGTGTGTGTGAGAGAGAGAGAAGAGCTAAACTAATTCAGTAATGAAAAGCTGCTGTGTACCCACAGAATTGGCTGCCCGTTGCTTCTCTGCATGAATTGTTGTTCTGAACTTGCCTCCTACCAAACATTTGTTGTTCTACGGTGCAGAAGAATTCTGTTTCAGCTATGCACCAGGTGCAATTGGATCATTGCTCATGCCCCGTAAGGAGGAACCACAGAATGACTTGCTCTCAGAACAGCCTGCCCTAAATGTGTCTCCATCTTGACATGCGCCCCAGTGCCATGACTCTTGCAGAAACAGAGAGGTGGGTTTTTCTGTGGGAAGACAGTAAGACCCTCTAACAGGAAATCATTTTAGGTAAAAAGTTTGCTTTTGGTCTCAGAAGTTTGGAGTAATCTATTTATTTAGTCGTTTAGTCGTGTCCGACTCTTCGTGACCCCATGGACCAGAGCGCTATAGCTGATGGTAAAATGTATTTCCTAAATGTACCATCTTTTGATTATTTCTTCCCCCTGGTTTCCAGGTAAACTAAATTTGGATGGATGAATCTGGAACTGCGAGACTCTCTGTGGGCCAGAGACAAGAGTTCTTCCAAACTCTCCCTGCGCTCGCAAGATGTGCATCACCTTCTGCCAAGGCGTGCTTGCTGTTGCCATCGCCATAAACTTACTGATCCTTTTCTACATCTCGAGGCTGCAGCAGCGTGTCTTGCACCGCCACAGGGACCACCCGCACCCCAGTGCCCACCAGCCCCGTGGCCTGCTGAGGTCAGGCGTGACCGTCCTCATCAGGGAGTTTGAAGACTTTGAAAACTACGTCCCCGACGTGGTGCGTCTCTTTGTGAAGCACAAGCCCGAGCTGCCCATCGTGGTGGCGGCAGACCGATTGCCTTATCCTCCTATGGTTCTCCCTGGCGCTCCCAACATCCAGGTTGTCGTTCTCAAGCCATCCCCTGACCAGCCTGCCCACGTCTCCAGGCCCGAGACCTACGTGAAGACGGAATACGTGGCGCTGGTGCCAGATGGGGTGAGGGTGGATTCCGCATCCCAGCTGGAGCGAATGCTGGAGGAGTTCAAGGCCAGCCAAGCTCAGGTGCAGATGGTGGCAGCTCCAGTGCAGTCGCTAGCTCCCCTCCAGTGCCTGAACCTCAAGGTGAACCTTAAAGAATGGACGGCCGACTACACAGCAGCTCCGCCTTCCTCCAAGGTGTGTGCGGCCTTGAAAGGTGAGGCCGTCGTCCTCCTACGCACCAGGGACCTCTTCAACTTCTCCATGCCCCTGGCCAAGCCCTTGCTGACTTCCCTCTTCATCCAGGCCTCCCTGCGGGGATGGGCCGTCCGCCTGCTCGACGTTTCCTTCTCGGCGCTCCACCAGCCTCTGCTCACCTCCTCCCACAACCAGTGGAAAGCCGACAACCTGGCCAAGGCCAACCGCCTGCAGCTCTTCCGCGACTTTGGCATCAAGCGGGTGGTCCTGGAGGACGGCAAGGAGCAGTGGTTTGGCTGCGGCAAGGAGACGCCCCGCTGCTTCGGCACCATCCGCGATGACACGCCGGAATACCTCTACCAGAACCGGTGGACGCCGCCTTGCTGCCTCCGAGCCCTGAGGGAGACGGCCAAGTACGTCATCGGCATCCTGGAGGCGTCCGGAGTGCGCTACTGGCTGGAAGGGGGGACGCTCCTGGGAGCCGCCCGCCACCAAGACATCATCCCGTGGGATTACGACGTGGATCTGGGCGTCTACCTGGAAGACATCCCCAACTGCGAGCTGCTCCGGAGTGCCGATTCCGGCTCCATCGTGGACGAGAAGGGCTTTGTCTGGGAGAAAGCCATCGAGGGGGACTTCTACCGGGTGCAGTACAGCGAGCGCAACCACTTGCACGTCGACCTGTGGCCCTTCTACCCCAAGAACGGCGTGATGACCAAGGACACGTGGATGGACCACCGGCAGGACATTGAGTTCCCGGAGCATTTCCTGAAACCGTTGGTCCCCATCCCGTTTGCCGGCTTCCTGGCTATGGCGCCCAATGATTACTGGAGCTTCCTGGAGCTGAAGTTTGGAGAAGGGGTGATTGAAAACCCAGAATATCCAAACCCAGCTGTAAAGAGCATGGAGAAGGGAAAGTGAAAGAGCCCTCGTGAAGGCCCAAGCCTTAAAAGGAGAGGTTCTCAAGTATCTCAGAGCTGAGAGCTTTCCTTCCTTGAACTCTTGATGCCATGCAAATGATTATGCAGTCAGGTGATTCACCTGCCCGTTACAGGTACCTCGGTGTCTTGTCCATACTGGAGGAGATGTTTGCAACAGTGAATTGTTTCACGGTAGCAGCACTGAATGTACATTCTGCCTTTCTGGATCAGATCAAAGGCCCATCTAGCCCAGCATTCTGTTTCTGATGGCAGCCAGACAGGTGCGTCTGGGAAGGTCACAGTCAGGGCATGAAGGTAATGGCTCTTTGCTGTTGTTGGTTCCCAGCAGCAGAAGTAGACTACCTTGGTGCTCGAAGGTTTCATTTTGCTGATCCATAGCAAACAGAACCCTTTGAAAACGGAAAGGCTAGGGACGACCATTGTTTCAGCGTTGCCTTTCAAAGTACAAGGGTCTCTTACGTCACCCCAGGAAGAAAAATCCCCCCCCCCCCCCGCTGTCGACAGCTGGTTGTTTCAGCAGGAGTCACGCAACAGAGCAAGCAGCTGCAGTGGCTTTCACAAAGCAGTCATTTTCCAGAGAGGTAGCTGTGTTAGACTGTTGCTGCAAAAAAAATCAGTGAGTCTTGTGGCACCTCAAGGACTAGCAAATTCAGTGCGGTCAGTTATTTTGTGACTGAAAGACGAGACTGCTTAGGATTCAGCGTCCCGCTTCCTCAAAACTGTCCAGGAGGAATTTGATAAGGAGATCATACCGCCAGCCAAATAAGGAAAGCATCAGAAGCAGGTTCTACAGGAGAAAGGCAGATGCTGAGAATCGGACAGGCAGCTCCTATAAGTACAGTGGTACCTCGGGTTACAGACGCTTCAGGTCACAGACGCTTCAGGTTACAGACTCCACTAACCCAGAAATAGTACCTCGGGTTAAGAACTTTGCTTCAGGATGAGAACAGAAATTGCGGCGGGAGCGGGAGGCCCCATTAGCTAAAGTGGTACCTCAGGTTAAGAACAGTTTCAGGTTAAGAACGGACCTCTGGAACAAATTAAGTTCTTAACCCGAGGTACCACTGTATATGAAGAGCCCTGCATCCTATTTGTACCACAGTGGCCAAGGCCATCAAGATCCCTCTGGGAAGCAGGCAGAAAGTAGGTAGAAAATAAATGGCCAGGGCTTCAGTAAGGGAAAAGAATTAGCACTGCTGGTGTGGTACACCCTTTGAAGTCAGACAGAAAGCATTCACAGAGTCATGAATTGCAAATTCTAAATCCTCATATTCTGCCCACTTACTGGTAGATTGGAATGCAGGAAGCGCCTGTCTCACTGCAGCTGCTGCTCCTCACTGAAGCTAGGCTGGCTGTAGCACGAGGGGGTCAGGTTTTAAGGGGACCAGTAGACTTTTATTTCAAACAGGATGTGGGGGACTAGATCACACTGTTTTGAATGCTCAAGTGAAGTCAGCGGGGCATGCCCCAAAGGAGGTAAGCTGAGGATTGCAGCTGTGCTCTAGCAACCTTCCTGCAGAGATGCCATTGGTGCAAATGTAGCAAGGAGACAACTGCAGCATAGATGCGAGGATCTTGCCTTGTAGAATTCAGAACTGGGGGGGGAGGCGCTATCCCTCTAACCACTGCTTGGTTCTGCTGCTGCAAACTGATATTAATTGGATTTTATCTAACTGGGAGCCAATGCAGATCTCTCAGGACCAGTGTTATATGGTCCCGGTGGCCACTCCCAGTCACCAGTCTAGCTGCCACATTCTGGATTAATTGCAGTTTCCGGGTCACCTTCAAAGGTAGCCCCACGTAGAGCACATTGCAGTAGTCTAAGCGGGAGATAACCAGAGCATGCACCACTCTGGTGAGACAGTCTGCAGGTAGGTAGGGTCTCAACCTACGTACCAGATGGAGCTGATAAATAGCTGCCCTGGATACAGAATTGACCTTCGCCTCCATGGACAGCTGTGAGTCCAAAATGACTCCCAGGCTGCGCACCTGGTCCTTCAGGGGCACAGTTACCCCATTCAGGACCAGGGAGTCCCCCACACCCACCCGCCCCCTGTCCCCCAAAACAGTCCTTCTGTCTTGTCAGGATTCAACCTCTGTTAGCCACCATCCATCCTCCAACCGCCTCCAGGCACTCACAGGACCTTCACCGCCTTCACTGGTTCCGATTTGAAAGAGGTAGAGCTGGGTATCATCTGCATACTGATAAACACCCAGCCCAAACCCCCTGATGCTCTCTCCTAGTGGCTTCATATAGATATTAAAAAGCATGGGGGAGAGGACAGAACCCTGAGGCACCCCACAAGTGAGAGCCCAGGGGTCTGAACACTCTCCCCCAACACCACTTTCTGGACACGGCCCAGGAGAAAGGAGCGGAACCACTGTAATAAATAAAACCAGCAATGCACTATAAAATACCGGCCTCCAAATGTTAAAATCTGACGACAAGATATGGCTAAAGCCTTCGGTCCACCAAGCACCCCTCAAGAGAAGGCCAAGGAAATGGGGATGGGCCGTGGCCTAGTGGGAGAGCACTTGCCTTGCATGCAGAAGGTGTCAGGTTCAATCCCCAAGGGGATTCAGACCCCTGCCTGAAACCCAGAAGACCCGATGCTGCCAGTCAGTGTAGACAAGGCTGAGCTACATGGACCAGTCGTCTGATAAGGCACCTTTGTTATGTTCCTAGGTGCATCTTCGGAGCTTTCTAAAAGGCCTCTGGTGATGGGGTTTGTCAGGCCTCCAATGGTGGCCAGATATTCTAGAGACAAGGGGCCGTTGCAAAGACATAAAGGCAACTCTCCATTTATGTGGGGGTTACGTTCTGAGGCATCGCGCCTTTAATAAGTGAAATCACATATACCGTATTCTTTGCTCTATAGGACGCACTTTTCCCCCTCCAAAAATGAAGGGGAAATGTGTGTGCGTCCTATGGAGCGAATGCAGGCTTTCGCTGAAGCCTGGAGAGCGAGAGGGGTCAGGGGTCGGTGTGCACCAACCCCTCTTGCTCTCCAGGCTTCAGGCAGCTATCTGCAAGCCTTCTGAGCACAGCGGGAATTCCCATGGGCTCCGAAGGCTTGCGGATAGCAGCCTGTTCTGGGGGCTGGGGTGGGGGGAAGCTCAGGCTTACCTGAGCTCTGGGAGCGGCGACGAGGTTGCGCGCAATCTTGCCGCCGCTCCTGGACCTGTTCTGGGGGGGGGGAATACTTTTTTTTTCTTTATTCCCCCCCCCTAAAAACTAGGTGCGCCCTATGGTCCGGTGCGCCCTATGGAGCGAAAAATACGGTATTTGAAACACGCTGAAAAAGCCTGCAAGTACGCCTTCTTGCCCCTTTCCACTACAGTTTTGTGGCGTTTTCAGGTCAATTCTGCGTTCAGCGCGTATATGTGATCGCACATATATTGAGCGTGCATAAATGGGGGGGTGCCTGTATACCCTTGCCTGGCAGGGTGGGTGGTGGCAGAGTTGCAACCCACCCACTCCCATAGGAAATAGACTCATTCTGCTGTCATTTGTGCAGACACCTCACTTCCCCTCACTGAAAGTCGTTGACAGGGCTGGGGTGGGTGGGAGCTGGGTGTTGAATAAATTTCGCCTCGGGGATGCATTTTATGATTGCAGTGTTATTAAATTTTTTAAAAGAAAGAAAAAGAAAAATCTTATGCCACTCGTGTTTAACTTGGCAATGCTTCTGTTGGTTTGCTGCTTATATTTAACAGCATTGTAAAAAGTAAAAAAATATTAACCCTCCTCAGGGGTTGTTGGATTAAGCCAAAGAAAATACCAGAAATGTAGGAAAACTCTAAAGGAAGGAGAAATAACATAAAGAGTCCCATTGTGTTTTTGCTTTTGTTCCAGCCCACTTGAACTGCCTGGGGAGGGTGGCTAGCGGTTTTGAAGGTGGTCAGGTAATAATAATAATAATAATAATAATAATAATAATAATAATTTATTCTTTGTACCCCTCCCATCTGGCTGGGTTTCCCCAGCCACTCTGGGCGGCTTCCATAGAGACAAAAAATACACTAAAATGTCACACATTAAAAACTTCCCTGAACAGGGCTGCCTTAAGATGTCTTCTGAATGTCAGGTAGTTGTTTATCTCCTTGACATCAGACAGGAGGGCGTTCCACAGGGCGGGCACCACTACCGAGAAGGCCCTCTGCCTGGTTCCCTGTAGCTTTGCTTCTCGCAATGAGGGAACCACCAGAAGGCCCTTGGCGCTGGACCTCAGTGTCCGGGCAGAATGATGGGGGTGGAGACGCTCCTTCAGGTATACAGGTGTGCACTTTGGGGCTCTCTGCCCCACCTGCCCACGTGACCCCAGCCCACTCTTCCACAGCATAGTCATAGCAATCGTGGGCTTGTCTGGGGCCACGCAGCGTCTGTGGCGGGTGTCTCACTTAGTACGGGTGCAAAGCTGCCTGTTTCTTTCTCCCTCTCCGGCTGTGTGCTAGTGTACCAAAAGTTTTCATGCAGACAATGGTCACCTTGTTTCACCTCCCTGCAAGCAGTTTCCTTATAGCCGTGAATGCATCGTCACAAGCACAATTTACAAGTTCACATGCACAGCTTGGCAGCCTTCAATCTCCAGGGTCACTTGAGGAGAGGCTTTGTAGCTAATTGCAGACCTTCGGCATGAAAGCAAGAGCCCGTATCCTGACTGCCCTGAAGATGAAAGAGCCAGGCTTCAGATTTTCAAACTCACTTTCAACCCGAACCCACGGTACCCAGATTTAATTCTTAAAATGCCTCTGCCCCTCTTTATGTCCTCTGTTTCTCTTCCACCTTTTCCCTAAACAACACTGAGGATTGGGGTTGAAAGGGTAGAAACATAGAATTGTAGAGCGGGAAGACCCCGAGAATCATCTAGGCCAGGGGTCAGCAAACTTTTTCAGCAGGGGGCCTGTCCACTGTCCCTCAGACCTTGTGGGGGGCCGGACTATATTTTGAAAAAATAAAACCACGAACGAATACTTATGCCCCACAAATAACCCAGAGATGCATTTTTAATAAAAGGACATATTCTACTCATGTAAAAACGTTCTGATTCTCAGACCATCTGCGGGCCGGATTTAGAAGGCGATTGAGCCAGATCCGGCCCCCAGGCCTTAGTTTGCCTACCCATGATCTGGGCCAACCCCTGCATTGCAAGAATCACAGTGACGGGCATCTATCAGCCCAACCAACCTCTGCTTTAAAACCTCCAAGGAAGGAGAGTCCATCACTTCTTGTGGGAGTCTGTTGTACTGTCGAACAGCTCTGTCAGAAAGTTCTTCCAGATGCTTAGTTGAAATCTCCTTTCGTGTAACTTGAATTCAGAAGGGGAACAGAGAACTCCAATGTAGAATTATTACGTGCCCCAAACTAGATTTCCCAGGATATCTTGGATGAAGGGCCATGGCAGTGAAACTATTATAGACCCAGTTTATGGTATTGACAATCCTGCGCTTTCAAATTTTCTTTTTGCACACGTTTGGGTGTCGGTAATTCTGGCGTCACGAGGCTCTAATGCCTTGTGGGCCTTTGGTTTATTCATGTTAATGATGCTTGCCTAACGTTCTTCAGAAAACGGAAGAGATATTTTGAAATTAAATGTCCCCTGTAGACAACATAGAGGTTCCCCCACCCCCTTCACATCACAGACGCAGGAAATACAAAAGCGGATGTCTGCTTTCCAGGACCTGAGATTTCAGCTGATAATCTGGTCTCCCAATTACTGCCGCCTCTGAAGTTTACCCTCTCCCAATAATCCTAGAGTTGTGGGGGGTTTTTTTTCCAAATCCTGGCTCCTGCCTGGCCTTTAATACAGAGGCAGGTTGTTGTTGTTGTTTAGTCGGTTAGTTGTGTCCTGCTCTTCGTGACCCCCTGGGCCAGAGCACGCCAGGCACTCCTGTCTTCCACTGCCTCCCGCAGTTTGGTCAAACTCACGCTGGTAGCTTCGAGAACACTGTCCAGCCATCTCGTCCTCTGTCGTCCCCTTCTCCTTGTGCCCTCCATCTTTCCCAGCATCATGGTCTTTCCCAGGAAGTCTTCTCTTCTCATGAGGTGGCCAAAGTCTTGGAGCCTCAGCTTCACGATCTGTCCTTCCAGTGAGCACTCAGGGCTGATTTCCTTCAGAATGGATAGGTCTGATCTTCTTGCAGTCCATGGGCAGGTTACCTTTCAGCAAATGTATCTGTGGCTTGCATTTATCACATAAATTGTGTACAGAGAAGATGGAAGGCAGCAGTAAGGAAAGAAACAAGCTGGCGAGAAAGGAAACATCATTGCTGTTGCAGGAAACAGACGGATCTGGAAAGGAAGTGGGTTTTCCCTGAGCTGGAAGCGAAAATGGGCAGGGAGGGCCGCAGTTCCTTTCCAGTCAAGGACTTGGTGCATGCAAGAGATTTCTACAAACACAATCTGGGATGTAATCCTTAGCGAAACGTCACAGCTCAGAGTTAATGTTAGGGGGTAGATCCAGAACAGGCTTCCTCAACCTTGGCCCTCCAGATGTTTTTTGGCCTACAACTCCCATGATCCCTAGCTAGCAGGAGCAGTGGTCAGGGATGATGGGAATTGTAGTCCAAAACATCTGGAGGGCCGAGGTTGAGGAAGCCTAATCTAGAACGGGGTCAGCAACCTTTTTCAGCCGTGGGCCGGTCTACCGTCCCTCAGACCATGTGGTGGGCCAGACTATATTTTTGGGGGGGAAACGAATTCCTAGGCCCCACAAATAACCCAGAGATGCATTTTAAATAAAAGGACACATTCTACTCATGTAAAAACACGCTGATTCCCAGACCGTCCATGGGCCGGTTTGAGAAGGCGATTTGGCCACATCCGGCCCCCGGGCCTTAGGTTGCCTGCCCCTGATCTAGAGAGCGTCTCTACCTCACCTGTTGCCCAGCTTTTTGCTAGGTTGTGTGAAGTGTTTGCCAGAAGAGGGCAGCAGCAGCCTGCCCTCAAACTTCTTTAGAAGACAGTGTCCCAAAACACTGAAGCTACAAACCTCCACTCTTCCAGCCTGCCAGCTGCCATCACCCTCGCAAGATCCAGTTTCACTGGATGGGCCTAAGATTAAGGACAGACAAAAAAGTCTGTCCATGCCTAGTTAAAGAGGTAGTGATGGCTGCCAAACTGGATAATAATAATAATTTATTATTTGTACCCCGCCCCCAGCCACTCTGAGCGGCTTCCACAGAGACAAAAAATACACTAAAATGTCATACATAAAAAACTTCCCTGAACAGGGCTGCCTTAAGATGTCTTCTGAATGTCAGGTGGTTGTTTACCGCTTTGACATCTGATGGGAGGGAATTCCTCAGGGCGGGCGCCACTACCGAGAAGGCCCTCTGCCTGGTTCCCTGTAGCTTTGCTTCTCGCAATGAGGGAACCGCCAGAAGGCCCTTGGCGCTGGACCTCAGCGTCCGGGCAGAACGATGGGGGTGGAGACGCTCCTTCAGATATACTGGACCGAGGCTGTTTAGGGCTTTAAAGTTCAGCACCAACACTTTGAATTGTGCTCGGAAACATACTGGGAGCCAATGTAGGTCTTTCAAGACAGGTGTTATGTGGTCTCGGCGGCTGCCCTCAGTCACCAGTCTAGCTGCTGCATTCTGGATTAGTTGTAGTTTCCGGGTCACCTTCAAAGGTAGCCCCACGTAGAGCACATTGCAGTAGTCCAAGCGGGAGATAACTAGAGCATGCACTACTCTGGCGAGACAGTCCGCGGACAGGTAGGGTCTTAGCCTGCGTACCAGGTGGAGCTAGTAAACAGCTGCCCTGGACACAGAATTGACCTGCGCCTCCATGGACAGCTGTGAGTCCAAAATGACTCCCAGGCTGCGCACCTGGTCCTTCAGGGGCACAGTTAATCCATTCAGGACCAGGGAGTCCCCCATATCAGCCCGCCCCGTCCCCCAAGTCCTCTTGGATGGCTTTAAAGGAGGGTTAGAGAAATTCATGGAGGATCTTTTGCTATCAATGGCTACTAGTCACAACGGTTATGCTTTGCATTAGCAGTGGGAGATGTTAGGCTTCTGAATATCAGTATCTGGAAACTGCAGAAGGGGGAAGGGCTGTTGTATCAGAGTCCTGCTTGCAGGCTTTCCACAGGCCTCTGGTTGGCCACTGTGAGAACAGGATACTGCCCTAGATGGGTCGCTGGCCTGATCCAGCAATGCTGTTCTTGTCTTCAGAATTTGCATGAGACTCCAGATTTCTAAAATGAGAGGGGCTGAGTTTCAGCTCAATCAGTGAAATTCTTTATGCCCATTGCAGCTGTACACAAGGCAAATTGTAGTGAGTCACTGCTAGGAAGGGCAATAAATTCCTGAATGTTGTTTGGAAAGCCACACAGCGCTGTTTGGGGGATTAATTTAGCTTGTGAATAAGTCCTCTTGCTGTCAGGGGGCGGGATATAATTCGGAGCAAACATGCATGGGATTGGACCACACTTAAATGAGGCAAAACCCCATGCGATTGTTCTCCGGCGGCAGATTTTGCATCAGTTTTATGGTTTATGTAAAACTATCCATGTGAGCTTTGGTTCTTCTTCTGAGCATTTCAACACA